ATCTAAGTTATGTTAGTAATGGTATTATTGTATTTCTGAGTCATGTGTAAAAAAAACTAACTTAAAAATTGTTTTTAATAAACTGAATTAAACAAAATAAAACAAAGAGGTTTAAAATGGAATTTAGAAAAAAGATAAAACCCAAAAAATCCCTTAAAATCGTTATCTTACTTCAACATTTATATAAAATCTGTCTGCTTTAGCATTTGTATCAAATGGTGCTTGATCTGAAAAAACAGTCAAATAATGATTGTCACCATCTAAGAATTTCAGTTTTTAAACAATGTATCCTTTCACAAGTAAAGTACAACTTTCACTTTACACTATACCTTGGTAACTGCTCAAAAGTTTAAATTGTCTAGCCACACCTTAGTTTGGTAATTTAGGTAAAACCACCAACTTACGGCTATCTTCATCCAGCTCTTTGTATTCACTCTTTGGCCTATGAAACAGTGTTGAGAAAATTGCGTGAAAATCAATTGAAATGATGGGATGAAGAATGCGGAATAATAGAGAAAACAATAACACTTGTGAAGACAGATTTCACTTGAGATAAAATGTGCATAACTTGTGATGTAAGATTAGCCTGCGGGTAGCCGTATCCTCCCCCCTCATGGATTAGTGTCAGGTTTTCATGGGTTGACGAGCACAAGTCTATGTATCCATGCACGAGAGTTATTGAAGCCAGTGTTATCATAAATCTGTCATCCTCAAAAAGGTGTCTCTGTTAACATGTCACATGCTCTTAAAGCTATTGCAAGCATTTAGCATTTTATGGGAAGTAGAATGCGAAGCACTGTGATCTAAAGAAAGTGACTAGCAGTAATTTGTTCCCTAGAACTGTGGGACAGCATTCACTTATCGTTTTAGTAAGCTACTATTTCAGCGCGATCTAAGAACAAATGGACGCTGCGATATCGTTGGAGTTGATTCAATTCCGATACAATTTTCTTATTCAAATGTGCATGGCAATTATGTATAAATCATAAGACACACCCTATTGGCTTGTCACACAGGATTACAGTTTGATCTGTCAGTCATGGCTAAAACCCATGACCATTCTTCGGTATATGGTATTGAAGAAATAAAGTAATTTTCTGGTATATGTGGCGTATATACCAAAACAGTTATTCACTTCAGAATGGTGAATAATTGTTAAAGGCACAGAAAGACAAATACTTCGAAGTAAATTCGGTGTACAGTAATCTGTTAAAGTAAAAAAAAATTCAATTGCCGTTTAAAGCTTCAGTTACACGTTTAGAGCGCCTGTTGACGAGAGAATCTTGGCAGTTTTTGATCGTGCTCATGGTCTTTTCTTACTTGCCAACCGCATTCGTGTTACAAATTTGCACCCGTGTTACATGAGAACTGGAATGGACATTACATTATGCTATGCCTATTACAGTTACGTTAGCGAAACTTTAGGGTAAGTACTAAAACATGGAACAACCTAAAACCACCTAAAAACCAACTACAATCATCTACAACTGTCTCAAAAATTTCAACAACCACCTACAACCACCTCAAAAACATCTACAGCCACTCGCAAACTATCTAAAACCATCTAAAACAAGGCATAAATGTCACAAATAAGGCGAAACGACAACATTTCACGTACATGAAATACGAGGATCGAACAAAACCTCCACCTCCCCCTGAAATCTTACTCTCCCTGGTCCCTTGTATAATCAACCGTCTCACGAAATGAAATGCGCGAGCATGCCAATTATATTTTTTGTTACCTCAGTAGTAAAAGACTTTACAAGCAGACGTTTTGGCTCACGTTTCATTTCACTACGTAATGGTCCAAGGTAGTGTTTTTCTCCATTTATAATCTCAGCACTGGAAATGTAATTGTAGCAAAACGTGAGTCACTATTACGTAAGTGGCACCACTCGTACAACTGCATGCTGTATGAATGCCAGCATGCAGTGGCCCACAACTGTCTCGGCAAAACAAAAAAGTCACGGCAAAACAAAGAAAACAAGTTTGTCAGCGGTTTGTCAGCGGTTGTCATTTGCATCTGAAATGGTAAGTCGTGTAACAGTAACACTCTGCTCGCTCGAAAAACCGCTATTTTTCGAGCTCACGATGTTTTGCACCGCGTGTGTTTCGGTAGTAGATGAAGATGCAAACTTTTGTAAAAGCTGTGGTAGAGGTACGTTTCTTAATTTAAAGTGTTCTTATTTGCAATTCTTTTAGTTCCAAATAACGATAGGCGTGAGAAGACACTGCTACAAATTAGCTGATTAGCATGTTTCTGGAATAAGATTGTGCATGTAGCCTGTTTGTAAGAAAACATTCATAATGTATGTGCCTTGATGAATTAAGGATTTTTCAACAGGTGGAAAAAAACAATGAAGCAAAATAATGTAGCTTACACCTCAGAGAAAACTTTACTTTAAACTGTGTTATTTCTTAAGTCTGTTTAACATCAATAAAACCCAAGATAAATGATTTTGAAAATAATCAGGAATGTTTTGGCCTTTAACCTCGTGCTCTCTGACTGTTTTCAGGCGTACAGTGTTTTCCACCTGTTGAAAAATCCTTATTTCATCAAGGCCTATACATTATGAATTTTTTCTTTTTACAAACAGGCTACATGCACAATCTTATTCCAGAAACATGCTAATCAGCTAATTTGTAGCAGTGTCTTCTCACGCCTATCGTTATTTGGAACTAAAAGAAATGCAAATACGAATAGCTTTTACAAAAGTTTGTATCTTCATCTACTACCGAGCCACAAACACGAGCTGAAAACATCGTGAGCTCGAATCAAAGTGCTCTGTGAGCAAACTCGTGAATTGACAGATGACTTACATGAGTTTTTGGATTATGCTTAATGTTATTTGGTTTAGGGAATTTTGTGGTTGATTGTGATATTTAGAGTACAAGCAGTAGTTTAGTGTTAGCTAATGTAGCAAAAAAACAAAGCAACGTTGGGATAAGAAGGCATTACAATTGAAATGATCATGCTATTACATTTGACAAGGGTGGATGATGTCATGTGTTTTAAACATATATCATTTTTGTTTCTGGTTCAAAAGAAAAGGTTGGAAGTAAATGCAGGTGAAAAGTGAATTTTACTGTCTATCATTGTAAATATTGGAAAATCAAGGCAATACTGTCTTAATGAAGACATTAATGATTCCCTCTTTATCAAATGAGACAAACGGGAACGAGTTTTGAGTGATATAACTAAGCCCAGACTGCCACCGTCATTTTGGATTTCCGCCTGGGTAGATTTTGGTCACGTGCTAGACAACGTATAGTCGAGAACAAGATAGAATTTCATTTCAGGCCTATTTATCAATTTTGTGGCGTATAACTTTCGCATTTTAGTACGTAATATTTATTTTGAATCTTCAAATTGTCTTGAAACTTAAAAGAAATTGTTCTTTAAAAATTCACTGAAAATCGGTAGCCAAAATTATTTGTTTAGGTGTTATTTGATTTTCGTGTTAACCTGTAATTTCGTCAGTCGCCGGCACCTGTTGCTTCACACAGAAAAAACACACGATACGAAATGTAGTGATCGATTTGTCCCCAATCTCACGCCATAACAGAAAAACCTTTTGAACACCTGTAAACTCTGAGCACTTCGGAGTAAGTAATAATTTTAATGAATCTTCAGATTGTTTTCAAGTTCAAGGACTGTAAATTACAATTTTACGAAAAACGAAGGTTGTTCTCTTGTTTCATTGTGAATCCTCGCACGCCTGCCATTCGCTGGCGCCGCTTGTTGAAACTAAAACGAATAAATATAAACTCTTTTAAGATTATCATTAGCTTCTTTTTCACCCCACCACTATTCTTGGCAACAAAGGTCGCCATTTCGTTTGTTTACTGTTACACGACGTACAATTTCAAATGCAAATGAGAACCGCTGACCAACCGCTGACCAACTCGTTTTCTTCGTTTTGCCGTGAGTTAATTTTGTTTTGCCGTGAGTTAATTTTGTTTTGTCGTGAGTTAATTTTGTTTTGCCTTGAGTTAATTTTGTAGTGCCGTGACTTTTTGTTTTGCCGTGACAATTGTGGGCCACCGTACCAGCACGATTATTTTTTGTAACTTGATAGTTAATTTTGTAACGTGGTTTTAGGTGGTTTTAGTACTTACGGAAACTTTAGCCTTGTCCCACTTAGTCGTATTAAACGGTACCGGTATAAATTATATTAAAATATATAATTTTTCATACGTTATGCTGATCTCGGTCAGTGGAGAGGAGCGAAATAGTACGGGAAAACGATTTTTAGAAGAAACTGCAACCATTTTTCACCTGAACGGAGAGCATAGCACAGACTATTAAAAAATCTAGAGACCAGAATTGAGCAATAACGAGATAATTTCTAATTGCTTATAATGCGACAAAGAAATTCAACGGCATATGATTATTAATGAAAATACAAACAAAATGACTGGAAAAAGGTCGGTTTTTTTCCAACTCGACGTGAGTTTTTCGAGAGGAGAAACTCGACACTGGTGAAAGAAAATCAAGTCACGGGCCCGGCTCAGATACAACGTGTGTAATACCCTGGATTGTGCAGAGATGCGCCGAAGCAACTGCTTCACAGGGTACACATTACATACTAGATAATATCGCCACTTATAGACAACGTTCAGTTGAAATTTGCTGAATAACGCAGTTGTGGTAGTCATATGAAAAGAGCGTTTACTGACCTGGGTTGAAAATTACACCTCACTTTGTTACATTCACTTCTATTCGACTTTAATCTGCAACGACCAGCGGATTTCCTTTTAGATATATATATCTATATTTACCAAAAATTCGCCATGGAAATTTTAAGCTCAGTCGCACAATCGGAAAATCTTTGTCCACATGCTGTCTGTTCACGTCTGACCTAATGACTCCAGTGTTCATTCTATCACGTGTTTCACGTGTTTCACGTGTTTCCCTCGCGAAAGGGAATGAAGACGCATGCAAAAAACGCACTGACAGCATGGTGGCCACGTGCATTTCATGCAAGGCTGCATTCGGTCTTTAACACGGAAATAAGTAAACTGAAAACGAAACGAGTTGAAAGGGGGCACCCATAGCCAGTTGGAAAATTTAGTCTTGCCTTCTTCCTAAGAGAAGAATTTTGCTGCTATTTGTCTGACAAGGAGACATTTACAGCATTTGCAAAGGTTTGTACCCAGCATTTAGTCATTTGACTTTACCGACGAGCGACAACTGAACAACATAGCAAGCTCAAAGGAAACAAAATCGAAGAAAAGGTTAACTTTCTTTACGACTGGATTTTCTAAATATTAATAACCGTTCTTATATTCTTTGCACACAGTTTAGCAGATGTTCATTGAAGCTATGGACCACAGCCATGGGGCCTACCTTAAAACTTTCATGTTAGCCTTCGATACCATAAAGCAACTCGTCGCCAAGTATTTATCTGTTCGACGTTGCCAACACTTGAGTGCATAAAGACACTGCTATAACCTGAGTGCGTGTGGAAAAAAACAGTGTGATCCACAAAATTCGTCTTCAGAAATGGGTCAGTAGTTTAAACTTCAGCCATTACGCATTTGCGAGTTAAAAGTTATGAATAAACTGTTAGTTCCGCGTAAACAAATTTATTAGAAAGGGTTACCGTTTGGAAACGAAATTTTTATGTTCATGTCTCTATGCTTGGCGATGCTACATAAACGCTGCTGCATATTGCCCTAACAGCGGTGCAAATTCCTCTCGCTCTGCTCTATATTCTACATTTTGATAACATGCAGAGGAGATATTTTTTATCTTTAAACTGATTAGCTTCTGTATAGACAATATGCAAGGTATCTAAAATTCTAGTCATTACAGTGTGTTGTTTCTTTAAGTACTCAAAAACGTTAATACAATTTTTCAGCGATATTGCTTGAAGTGACAGTGAATTTATAATGCTGTGGGCGTCGTTGTCATGAGATATTATTATGGTAGATATCGTATATTTGTCTGTTTTGATCAAGACAAATTTATTTACCTAACCGTGATAACATGAAGATAAAGACTTCAAATACATCCAACTCTCACTTAGTAACTCAAAGATGATCTAAAAACCGTAATTTATATCGTGGTAGTTCGATAAGTAGTTCGCCTTTGAAGCCTCTTAAGTCATGAAACGTATAAAAACATGGCGGCTTCTGAAGGAAACGTTTCGGGCTATCTTAGGGTCAATTGAAGAAAGCAAGAGCCGTTTTATAGAATGGAAAATATCCGTCACTGACGGCTTTGACTCTGAAATTATCTCGTCTTCGAATCTAGTTATGGTTAGTTAGACGAGCGAAGGATGATCATTTGAATCATGGTTTTCATTCAGTAGTTTCGATTTGACTCGTCGAAACAGGAACTGTCTATGAAACGGGAAAGTCCCTTTGAAGACGGAATCGTAATGATTATCGTATCACGTGCGGATCACCAATGCTCTAGACCATTAAAGACTCGGGTATCCACGTTTTCTAGCGTGAAGAGAACGTGATAATGCTGAACATAGATCAGATTGATATTTGCCTCCTTCGATACCCTTTTTGTGGGTACTGTTCAAAACGTTTTGAAACTTCTATATTTGGTCATATTTCTTTTAAAACCCAAATGTGTTTTTTGAATTGACGTCATTCGTCATTGAGAAGCACTTGGGGAGAATTAATTCTTACAGTTCTCAAACTTCATGCCAAAACCAATTACTACTGAAAACAGGAAATGCTAAAGTGAAAATACAAAATAAATTTATAACCGATGGGCTCCTCCAGGGGCCGTTCTTTTCTCCTGTTACATAACAAGCTTCCTCTTGTGTTGCGTGACAAGCCGAAACAATGACATAAACATTGAATTTTAAGTAACTTGTTATGTGTTGCCCAAACTGTTATTCTAACACCTTTCTGTGGTATTTTTTCTTCTTGACTATGAGAAACTCCTGCCCAAGGTAACATATTTGCCGGATAGATTGAAATGTTTCAATATTTAATGTCTGGCTCATTTGATCATATTAATGTGATAAAATTGCGCACTATTAGTATTCAGGCTGTTATTATTATTATATCATGTTTAAGGCTCTAACATAAGCTCATTGTAATACTATCAGATTTCTTTACGAATAATAACACGCTCGAACCAAATGTTGTGATGAATGAGAGCATTATTCATGAGCACCAGCTGCCCAAGTTGATAGGACCGGAAAAGTGGAGAGATTTGGCACGAATGCTACACTTCAGCCAAAATGACATTGACATTATCAGCGAAAGAAACAATTGCCCCAAGGAGTGTTGTATCGCTGTCATCGTGAAATGGATCCATCGAAGGGGACAGGACGCTACTGTTGGAAAGCTTGCAGATGCCCTGACTAAGATAGAACTTAAGAACGTGGCTGATATATTACTGGGTAGGTAAAATAGTTTCGATCATTTGCTTATTGTACAGTATTTTCAAGAGAAGAAGCACCAAATAGTGTCTTAGTTCTATCTATTTATCTATTTTCGTCAAAACGGCATAGCGTAGTTGACAAATTAGCTGGCATAATTATGTTTTTTTGATGATATTTACTGCCCAGGGTATTGCTGGAAATTTGAAGCCAGGTCAAATATTTTAAAGAATTCTTGGAAAATCTCTTTAAAATCCCCAACGTGACTGTGCCTTTTTTTTTAGTAGAGAGAATTTCTTTGAATTTAACCTCAGAAATCCAGCTCCTTTCCAGTGCATACATTTGCATGAAATGAGGGCAGACTCTGGGAAGTATTGTGTAAACACTCGACCTCTGAAATTTACAAATAGCTTCCGTCCTCTCTGGTGATGTTTTTTAACAAGTGTGCAGCTAAATGCGCTGAAAATAAATGGGGTACCTTAAGATTAAAACCACAGTACTTGTGTCCGAAAACCAGATAGGATTTTTCGATCGTTTTTCTCTTCAAGGCTCTTTATCTCTTACTTATGATAAGTTCAAACATGTACAAAAACCATGATACAAATTTTAAAATGGTTTGTTTAAGGTCCAATCAATGGTAAAAAAACCATCTCCATTGAAGTTAGAGGAACTATTGAGGTAGACAACACAAACCAGGTTAGTTCGTTATTCTGCACAATTGAACATTGGTTTCTGAATTGTTCTGTCATATGTAAACTTCGTAATGGGCCACCCTCACCACGGAGTCTCTGTGGCTCAGTGGTAGAGCATCAGAACGCGGAATCCAAAGGTCTGAAGGTCAATTCCTTATGGGGAATCAGAATTTTTTCTTTGTCCCACGCTCGTGAAAAGACGAAAAGTATCTTTCTCTGTTCTGAAATGTTCCAAAAAGCCATTGTTTGGTTTATTAACTGTACACTTTTTTCTTCCCTGAATTAGATCATATTGGGCAACGACAGTACTGGGAGGTCAACGTTCGTTGTGTGGGAGACCAAAAAAAAAGAATTTCATACATCTTTGAAGGTAATTATTAATATGGAGGCAGACGAAAGCCCATGGAAACAAAAACATTTATGGCAAGCAAAATTGGCAACTGCCTATTTCAACCCCTTCCTATGGTAATACTTTCTGAAACAATGTAAAGTAAATCGAGGCAAAACGGCATCATAATCATTTGAGATCGGAATTAAACGTTCTCTTTTTTTTTCTGCAAGAAGTGGGTAATGATAACGAGAATTTAAAATGCCATTGCCGCTAAACTTGACTTTGTAAGTTGTCTTCCATTTATTTTGTAGTGGCCCTACAATCTTGTGAGAGAGTTGCGTGAGTTTGCTTCTTATAAAATTGACATTTTAAGCAATATTTTTCTTGATGTGAATTACCCGTAGGGAATTTAAATGCATGTATGATGTAAATGCATATGACTTTCAACTCTCCTTTCAGGAAATCATAGACTACATAGGTGCCATCGACCAGTTTGTAGGAAATACACACAAGCAAACAAAACAAGTCGTGGTTGAAGATGTTACCTGCAAAGTTAACCAAATTTCCGAGAACATAGTAAAACTTCAAAAAACGCTTTCAGACATAAAATCCAGTTTGGAAATGCCTGAATTAAAAGGAGAAACCTTCTCAACGCAAAGAAAGCTGGAGTTAATCGGCATACAGAGCGGAACATTAGAGGAAGTGTACACTAAAATAACAAGAATGGCAGGCCAAGCTTGCGCATGTGACGAGTTCGCCAGAAGACAGTTCTATGACTTTACATTTCACAACTTAAAAGCCGTACATAATGATCTGAACGCTGTTGTTGCCGACCTGAAGTCAACGGACACACAATTCACAAAGGAAGAAAATGAGAAGCTTCAAATTCTGCTGGCAGACCAAAAACGAAGAGAAAAACAGGTTGAGCAGCTGGAAGCAACGCGGACGCAGCTATTCTCCTCCGTATGTAAATTTACTTGCATGCTTCATGTTGTTTTATTGTTTGTTTGGTTTTTTTTTGCATGCTTTTGGCTAAGAGCCATTCTTTCTCCATGCCATGTTAAAAATTTTCTTAGCGTGGTTACAGTCAGAAAAATATAAGCTATTTCGAGCCCACATCTAGAATCTTGCTGGCTTGTGTTATGGAAGAAGCGGAAAATGTCATAGCCAGATATCCAACGGTGAAATATGAGGTATTTTCAAAGCATTCCAATATTTCTAATAGAAGAGAAAAAACTGGTTAAAACGGTGAGGAGTCAGATGTAGGTGCGGGGATTAAGAATATTGAGGAGATCTTTACTTACTCTTAGGTATTAACCTACTCTTATTTTTGTTTTACTTGCAGGCTGAAAAAGAACTGAAGATATCTCGATATTCAACACCAAGGAGACGAAAGCCAGCGCCACCTATTCCAATGCAGGTAAACTTAAGAAAAAATAAAAGTTCTATATGTTTTCAGCAGAGGTTTATATATATGCACATTGAGTTCTTCTCTAAAACTTATTTTCATACCTTAATGGCCGAATTTTCTTTGGAAGGATGTATGTGAAGTAAACTTTTGAGAAAGAGATTGATGGGAGGGCTTAAGGGAACCACGACAACTGGGCAGGTTTATGAAAAAGACCGGTTGAAATTTAAGTTTTCGATGAATTACCTTGAGGTAAACGTCTTTCATGATTTCGAAATGTTTTCTTTCAGATACCAAGGGCAGATACAGAGAGGGAGTGGCCGAAGAAATCCACCAAGGTTTGATCTAGCTTTATCTCACAACGCTCGCTTTCTACAAACACACCGTTACCGTATAGAGAAAGTTTTCCTCGTGCTCTCATGATTAAAATAATTTTTTTATTGATGCCTTCAATGGACGCCTTGGACTTTTCCTAGTCTTCTATTTATTTTGTAACGGCCCAGCAATATTTTAGAAGAGTTACGTGAATTTGATTCTTATAAACTTGAAATTTTAGGCAATATTTTCTTGATGTAAATTACCCTCAGAGATTTTAAATGCATGTATCAGGATGAGAATGCATACGACTTTTAACTGTCTTTGCAGGTAATCAAATACTCTATAACTACTACCGACAAGTTCGTACGGAATACACCCAAGCAAACAGAACAAGTCGTGGTTGAAGATGTTACCTGCAAAGTTAACCAAATTTCCGAGAACATAGTAAAACTTCAAAAAACGCTTTTAGACATAAAATCCAGTTTGGAAATGCCTGAATTAAAAGGAGAAACCTTCTCAACGCAAAGAAAGCTGGAGTTAATCGGCATACAGAGCGGAACATTAGAGGAAGTGTACACTAAAATAACAAGAATGGCAGGCCAAGCTTGCGCATGTGACGAGTTCGCCAGAAGACAGTTCTATGACTTTACATTTCACAACTTAAAAGCCGTACATAATGATCTGAACGCTGTTGTTGCCGACCTGAAGTCAACGGACACACAATTCACAAAGGAAGAAAATGAGAAGCTTCAAATTCTGCTGGCAGACCAAAAACGAAGAGAAAAACAGGTTGAGCAGCTGGAAGCAACGCGGACGCAGCTATTCTCCTCCGTATGTAAATTTACTTGCATGCTTCATGTTGTTTTATTGTTTGTTTGGTTTTTTTTTTTGCATGCTTTTGGCTAAGAGCCATTCTTTCTCCATGCCATGTTAAATTTTTTTCTTAGCGTGGTTACAGTCAGAAAAATATAAGCTATTTCGAGCCCACATCTAGAATCTTGCTGGCTTGTGTTATGGAAGAAGCGGGAAATGTCATAGCCAGATATCCAACGGTGAAATGTGAAGTATTTTCAAAGCACTCCAATATTTCTACTAAAAGAGAAAAGACTGGTTAAAACGGTGAGGAGTCAGATGTAGGTGCGGGGATTAAGAATATTGAGGAGATCTTTACTTACTCTTAGGTATTAACCTACTCTTATTTTTGTTTTACTTGCAGGCTGAGGAAGAACAGAGGATATCTCGATATTCAACATCAGGGAGACGAAAGTCAGCACCACCTCTTTCAATGCAGGTAAACTTAAGAAAATATAAAAGTTCTATATGTTTTCAGCAAAGGTTTATGTATGTGCACATCGTGTTCTTCTCCACAACTTATTTTCATACCTTAATGGCCGAATTTTCTTTGGAAGGAAATTGTGAGATCGCTATAGGATGCATGTGAAGTAAACTTTTGAGAAAGAGATTGATGGAAGGGCTTAAGGGAACCACGACAACTGGGCAGGTTTATGAAAAAGACCGGTTGAAATTTAAGTTTTCGATGAATTACCTTGAGGTAAACGTCTTTCATGATTTCGAAATGTTTTCTTTCAGATACCAAGGGCAGATACAGAGAGGGAGTTGCCGAGGAAATCCACGAAGGTTTGGTCTAGCTTTATCTCACAACGCTCACTTTCTTCAAACAAACCGTTACCGTATAGAGAAAGTTTTCCTCGTGCTCTCATGATTAGAATAATTTTTTTATTGATGCCTTCAATGGACGCCTTGGAATTTCCTAGTCTTCTATTTATTTTGTAACGGCCCAGCAATATTTTTGAAGAGTTTCGTACGAAATACACCCAAGCAAATAGAACAAGTCGTGGTTGAAGATCTTACCTGCAAAGTTAACCAAATTTCCGAGAACATAGTAAAACTTCAAAAAACTTACATGCTTCATGTTTTATCGTTTGTTTTTTTGTATGCTTTTGGCTAAGAGCTATTCTTTCTTTGTGGTTACAGTCAGAAAAATATGAGCTATTTCGAGCCCACATCTAGAATCTTGCTGGCGGAAGCGGAAAATGTCATAGCCAGATATCCAACGTTGAAATGTGAAGTATTTTCTAAGCACTCCAATATTTTGATTGCAGGCTGAGGAAGAACAGAAGATATCTCGATATTCAACACCAGGGAGACGAAAGTCAGCGCCACCTATTCCAATGCAGGTAAACTTAAGAAAATATAAAAGTTCTACATATATGTTTTCAGCAAAGGTTTATATATATGCACATCGTGTTCTTCTTTAGGACTTGTTTTTATATCTTAATGGCCACCTTTTCTTTCAAGGGGATTGTGAGATCATGTGAAGTAAACTTTTGAGAAAGATATTGATGGGAGGGCTTAAGGGAACCACGACAACTAGACAGGTTCATTTCCTTTATTCTCATGACCTTACTGTGTGATGTAGTGTTCATATTGTTGGGAGAAATTAGATGTTAGTCACTATCAGGGGTTAAAGGGATAAGCATCAGCGTCCTGCATAAGCCATACGGCATATGGTTCCTGATAAAATATTTTTTGGCTGACCTAGTTAACGAAATTGGAAGACCGGTTAGACTCATGATCAACTAGTCTTGTAATGGGTTATAATTGTCATTTTTCTGTCGCAGATTAAACGGACTCAAACATAGAGTCTTTTGTAGAAGCAAGAGGAATAGCAGTGAAATACCTGCAGTGAAGAGCAGTGAAAATATGTGCAATCTTGTTTCCTATTCCCAAAAGGCTCTGAAGGATTCTTGACTCTAAGGAAGGTCTTAAGTAAAAAGTTGAAGGTCACATGTTGTTATGTAGTATTCTATCGACACCATATACACTTGTTGTGCCCGACGAAAAGCATATTTCATGTCTAGAAAAGTCTCTCTAGGACTTTATTGACATACGTAGTTAAAGGAAAAAAGAGGGACTCAGTTATGCAAAACGGAGTATCGACCATCTTTGCCAAATGGGCTATTTCTGTTATGTTTCTAATTTGGTGGTTAAGCATGCAAGGTCCTCAAGCTTCCCAAGAGGAAACAAGCCATAAAAATTCATCCTTTTATAGTATGTTGGGAAGAATGACCAACATAGTATAAGTGTGTTGATTTGTTGCTCATTTTTGTCCTATAACTAAAGACATCTAAAGAGACAGGCTAAAAGCAAGAAGGCGCTGTGATCTTTTGAGGCAAAATTTTAAGTTCGAGAAAGCCGCAGTAGAAAAGGGTGAATAAAAATTTACATAAAAGTTTACATAATCGTGACGTGTAGAATAATAACTTGAAGATTAGTAAAAATAGAATAAATGATTAGTAGGGTCAAAGGCTTCAGGCCTGGAGATTGTCAACATTATTCAAACTAAGCCATTTCATTTAAAACAATCATTTTTTACAAAATTAAGTTTTAGATACTGTTGCAAGTATCTTATCGTACAATCATACCTAAAACACTGCACAATTGATATGTACATCAAAGCTTATAAGGCGTGTGTTACAGGCAATGAATTGATATAACTAAATGAACATAGTGATAGTGGAAAATTTAAAAGAAAAAAAAATCGGAAATTTAGTAATAAAAATAGCTGCTTGGGCAGCTTGCCTTAGCCTTAGTAGTGCTGAAACTTTAGTGTTACGTTCGGAGGTCGATGATAGTACTCTTTCGGAGTCTCTTCAGAAGCATGAGGATGAGCAATGAAAATAGTCTTTTTTTATATTCTCAAAGGGTTCTAGTAGACTTTTTACCACTAATAATGGTCTTAAGTAAAAAAGCTGAGGGTCAAAAGGCAGGATACTAGGATGTTGCATTTTATGGACATAACACAAACTTGTTATACCAAGTGGAAACATGTTTCATGTCCAGAAAAGGCCGTATAGGACTCGAAGCATGTAGGTTGTTGAAAGAAATTAAATTCAGTTCAGTGTAAGTTTTTCTATGAAAAACTTGGATTCTATCTTTTCCACTAAATGAGAAATGTAAGAATTTTTTTTATTTTTAGATTACAGAAGGAGGAATTCTAAACATAGCATTTTCATGTATTTTATTGCTCTTAGGCCTACAGTTATAAGTAATTTCAATTAAAGAAATTAAGTGTTGGAAATTAACAAAAAAAGATGAAAAAAAAAGGCAAAAATACAAAAATAATTTTAAATTAAATCTAAACAAGTCTTACTCTTAGCAGAAATTAAGATGGAATTGAACACGTTTGGAGACCTTTGGTAGTACGCCTCCAACTAAGTTAATTCTGGTTATATTATTAGTTGACAGGTTCTAAATTGTTCTCATTATTAGCTATGAATATGAATTTGATTTAGGAAATCATTTATCGCCGGTAGGGGTGGGGGGAGGGGGTTGAAAGGACCCGAGGGCGGATCAGGGGAGTGTAATGGGGGAATATAAAAAGTTGGCGGGGGGGAGGGGGGTTGGGGGTATTATAAGAATACTAAGGAGCCCCAGGTGGTAAGGAATGGCCGGTCCCTCACTCGTCACGGAGAAAGTTTTTTAATTATTGTCGTAGAGAATTAAAAAAAGAAATAATTTATTAAATAATGATCACGTGTTTCGGCTCAGATATGTTATAATTCAGTAGAATTTGTATTGTGATTGTTAATAATTTTTACTAAGAATGCAAAAAAAAACGAAAGAAAACTGCTCGTTGAACAGTCTAGCTGAGATAGACGTGATCTCTATGTGATAATTTTGTATTAACTTTAAATTAGACATATCTTTTGAAATTTTTTAAGCAGAAAGGGAAAGGTTATAATAATTGCGAAGTTTTTTGGATAATTTATTGTAAGAGTTACTTCGCTATTAATAAAGTCAGTTGTCAAGCTGGAATTAGTTGAAAACTTTCAGTTGCTTTAATTATCTTCCGTAATTGTGAAGTTCTTTTAGAAATTAAATTAAAAAGTGAAAAGAAAACATTTGGCCAGGATTACCCACTTTTTTCTGCTAAAATTACTCACTTTGATCCCCAAATGATGTTTGCATTAGGTTTACATACTTTGTAACTTTTGAGAGGAATTACTGTTGTCAAAAATAAAGAAAGGTTTTAAGTCTGCCCTCCAGCTTTTCCCAGTTTCTCTGGCAAAAAGGGGACCAGAAATAATGCTGATCCCTTGGGTGCTATGCAAGTTAACCCCACCTCTAAGTATTTCGTCAAATTCCGCTGTCTGCTCGCTGTTACTCGTTTCTATAGACATCGAGAGAATAAAGCACCTTGCTAAGAACCCAACACAGTGACCTGGCAAAGTCACGAACCAGCTCTCTTCGACCCGTGATCTAATGTATCTCCTTCTTTTTAGAGAAAAAAATACCTTATTTATAATGTGGGTATAGTAAAGAGTCCTTGCGAGACCTTGCGAGACAGAAAGGAAAACGTCGAGCTTCTTTTTAATGATAAGTTGCTCTTTTAGAAAGAAATTGGACGGTAGAGGCCTTTTTAAGGGAGAAAGATGTTTTTCGTCTTGCCACGAGCGTGTGACAAAGAAAAAAATTCTGATTCTCCATGAGAAATCGAACCTCAGACCTTCGGATTCCGCGCTCCGATGCTCTATTCCTTTATGGAGCTAAAAATTTACCATCTCTCTTATTCCATTTACAAACATGGCGTTATCGACATTGCTGATCCTTGCAGTATGCAGGACGCGTGTCATATGAACTTCGTAATTGACCTTGCTCACTTTAGAGTCTGTAGCTCAGTGGTAGAGCATCGTGACTCTGAGTCCTATTATCTACGTCAAGCCGACTAATTTTTAAATTTTGAGCTCAATTAAGAAATAGAGCATCAGAGCGCTGAGTTCGAAGGTCTGAGGTTCAAATTCTCGTGGAGACTTGGAATTTTTTCTTTGTCCCACGCGCGTGACAAGACGAAAAAGATATTTCTCTATTATCTTTCTACTTCCTTTATTCAGTATAACTTACCACAAGCGAGAGAAGAGGCGAGGTGAGGAGTAAAATTGGTCTTATGACTACTATTTATGTCACGCACACTTATTTTTGGCTCGTAACTTCACATATTTTAGTTCTTTAGACGATTTATTATTATTATTTTATAAACGACTTGTTCTTTTGCCATTTTTGAAAACATTTTTTTTGGTCCGTGATCCGATCTGTAATCCAGTCCGGTCCGATCCAGATTTTGTCGACACCGATTGTCGGCGGTTATAAATTGAGCGAGCTCCTCTCTGGTAGAGGAAGTAGCGCCGTTGCAGTCGTCAATGTAGCGACGTAGAGTTCAGGTTTGGGGGCGGCTGTATTTACCGAAAAAATTGGTGTTCGGTAAAACCTATAATGTTTTAGTGGATGAAAGTGAGATCGTTGTCAAAGCTTCCTTTTGGCAGGGGTTGGCCCGCCAAACGATGACTTCGCCGCCTTTGTCGGCCGCTATGATAACTATGTCTGCTTTTGTTTTTTTGTTTTTTGGCTTTTTAGCGTTTTAAAACTCTTCACGGTGGCCAATTTACGTTATAAAATCAGTTGACAGTACTTAATTACCCTATTTCAAAGACAGCCCGTTTTTGGCCAGCTGCACAAATTACTGAAAATTCATTATCCTTTGTCTTACGAATATGATTTTTCCCTGTTCTGATGTCGATGAAATTCTAAATTATTTTTATTCCGAAATAAGGCGATGTTAAACTGGCACTATTTTCATTTCAGCAGCGATAAACGCAGCGTGAAAAAAAGAGATCGCAGAATTAATTCTATATTTGCTTTATTTCATTAGCTTTGTTGACTTAAATAAAAAAAAAGGTACCGGACAAATGGCTTTAACTGAATGTTCTTGATAAAGAAAAAAATTATGAATATTGACATGTGTGTGCAGCTTTAGTTTTAAGAAAAGAAGCCTTTAGAAAAATCAATAAATAAAGCCATGTTCATATTTTGCACAAAAAAGGCGCAGTTTAGACAGTATTACTAAGCCTGATTAAATTTTCGTCTGAAAATTTGATCTATAAACGCTTATTTGAGTTGATTTTAGGAGGCGGGAATTAAGATGTGTGGTTTGAAAATTTGAATTTGAAATTTATTTCATAGAGAAATGAAGTCCTAAAAGCTCTCTTAGCTCAGGAAATATATGCATCAAACCCTAGTATTTTAGCTTTGGGTTCGCACAATTTTTGTTAAGAATTTGAGTTGGATTCAATCTCGACAGAATGGCTTATAAGTAGAGTAAAAAACCTTCCGAACATGCCGATAATTAGACGTGCTGATTTCATGAAGAAAGCAAATTAAGTTTCTACTGCGCTGTAAACTGTCACCAGAACTGATAAAAATATCAAAGAGGGTTATTAAAAAAAGATAATAATAGTAAAAACCGTTTTCTTGGTCTTGCTATTTGAGTGGGCCTACAATGGAAAACAATGCCCAGGGTCAAGACTGAATATTATTGGCGCTCAGAGAAATATTAAAAAAAGCAATCAAGATTTACACACATAACGAGACCCGTGGGAGGGTTTTTCTGTGTCACATACAGATTTTTAATTTGTGTAAAAATTTGAACAGAGAATATTTAATGAGGGAATCTAAAGCCGATGATAGGTTGCTAAGAAACTTAAATGGGCTCCTGGCCCTCATTCATTTTAAACTCCACCTTCAGACATACATTTTAATGCGGGCTCCCATGAGTCATCACGACTCAGTTAAATGTAAAAACACTTACTTGTGTCTTACAACATCAATAACAATAACAGCGAATAAGATTCCAAAGCTCTACCGAACGAAATGTTAAAACATTCTAGGCGCCGAAATGTAAGTAGGGTCTTATTTTATTGGCAGAGCTAAGGCTGGTTTTTATCTATGGGAAAATTCAGAAGATCCTGGATAAAAAATGTTACTATTTTTTAGTCATCCATACATGTTATGGGGACGTATCTAGAAATTTTCAACGTCAATGTCCACGATTCTTCCGATACTGAATTTGGTTATACTGTAGCTGAGCATTTAACTATTGTTGATGAGCTAAAAATTATCTGTTTGAAGAATCATTGACGCCCTAAACTTGAAGTTTTCATATGCTTCGGATGTCCTTCAAAAATCGTAAAAACCGATGATGTATTGAGCTAAAATAAGTGCTCTCAATTTTCTTGATGCCTCCGGCCTCGAACATTCCAGACCCTGTAAGACTCGCAGCTTATGTTTATCGAGTTCACAAAAACCTGGGATGGTGGAGAAGTGATATAATACTCGGTGTTGGATTTGTTAGTCAATCGGTACGATGGAATTGGAACCCGACATAAGGGAGCGCTTTTGAAAACTAAGTCAACCTACAAACCTTTTTCGGTCACGTGTCGTAAACACTTCAGTTTTTTAATTTTTTATTCAGAGGATGGTCTAAATGAGGTTAATCGCCAACTGTCACATTGCCCAAATTTTAACCGTCAACCGTCAAGAATGCAAGATTTTTACCTTCGCATCCCTAAGATAGTTCTCAATTCAAAATAAGCTCTCTGTAAGCCATCGCCTTCAATATTTCCAGTTCAATTATGTACAGTTCCTTTGTGTAAACATCTACGGCTAACTTACAAAACTTTATTTCCTTGGGAACACTTCCGGTGACGAAGAATATTACTCGTGTATTTGAGAATACAAGAGGACACGCTAAATCTGCTAGAGTACACACTATTCGAACGAACGGGTCACTTGGTCAACTGACAAAACGTTATTCCCTTGAGGACACTTCCGGTGTCGCGAAATATTACTCGTGTATTTGAAATGCAAGAACGCACGCTAAATCTGCTATAGTACAGACCATTCGAACGAACGGGTCACTTGGCTGTCACTCTTAGTCAAACAGCTCACAAAAAAATATTTTTGTAATTTCGGTGTGAGTCTGAATTCAGTGAACAGCCTCACAAAATTGAATTTGTTAAAAGAAACTGAGAGTAAAGTGAAAATAAAAAACTGGTTCTTATAATGAATATTGGCCGTGGCAGCGGCAATGTGAGTTAAGGAAACAGGCAAATGAGGACACCTGAAATATTCATGCAAGGTGTGTTATAGTTTTAACGCAAACATTTTAATTTGATGTTTAAAACATTCATTGAAAATTTTCTTATTCAAATATTTGTGAAATTGCTTTCTTTGATGGAAAATTGGAACCTGAATAAAAATAAGTGAAGTGTCTTTCCGAAAAATTGACCGTAAACCGTCAAATGGCAAATTTGAAAATGTAAAAAAGAATTTTTTCAATTTTTTAGTTTAAAATATTCATGCAAGGTGTGCTACAGTTTAAACGCAAACATTTCTGTAATTTGATTTTCAAAACATTCGTTGAAATTTTTTTGTTCAAATAATTGAGAAATTACTTTCTTTGATGGAAAATTGGAGCCTTTATAATAATAAGTGAACAGTTTTTCCGAGAACTGATTGACCGTAAACTTTATCAATTTTTGAGTTAAATTTTTTTTCTCCACAGATACTAACAATTGTCTTAGTAGCAGCTTTGTTTGCTATCGTAGCGGTAAAGATGCATTTCGGTCCTAGTTTTCAAAAACGTGGGGGTAAGTTAAAAAGAAAAAGGTTCCATTTGTTAAAAAAAATATCAAACAGCAAATGACCTGCTTAATCCTTACAAAACACTGACAAATTAACAGAAGCGATCGCTGAGACGACAGCAAAAGCAATGAACCAATCAGCAAGCGAAACAAAGACAAGTAACCGATGGAATGCGCGGGAAAAGTCACATGATCAATGGAACAGAGCTGATGGTAAGTTGTCAACCTTTATTTGCGATGAAATTTCTGGTACAAGACTCACCTCTGTACTTTCTTTGTGAAAATTGAAGGGTCACGGTGAAAATTTGCATCTTCTCTAAATACAGTGCGTCTCTTACAAAGCAATACATACGTGATATTTGTTTTTTCCAGATGGCAGTCTTTGTCCCCATCTGGGTTTAAAAAATTACTCAGATGAAAATGAGGCGTCATCGCCACCTGAAATTACATGCAGGCCACATAGGTAAGGATCTTGAAAAGTTAGCAGATTGAGAGGTGAAGGTAAAGGTAAAGTAATTTCACCATTCCGCCGTTCATTTTCCTCCTTTTTTAATCCTTGCTTGACCGTGGCAGTCTCCTCTTCTTCCCCCAGGACATAAGAAGTCTTTTTGTTTTATGTGTTTAAATCTCAAATAAATTTTAGCTTCTTTTAAAAGTTAAAAGTTTGGAGAAAAGGTTTTTTATTACTTACATATTCCCTAACGCGAAGAAACTGGATTAATGCGGCTTGATTTTATACATTTTTGGTAGAAATATAATCGGGTTTTACCAACTGGGTTGTTAATGTAAATTGGCCTCCATTAAACGTATCTGAATCGAATGGCTGATGCTAGAAATGACAGCTTTATTTAGATGCTCTCTACGGTGGCCAATTTACATTATCAACTCAGTTGTTAAAACAAAACTATCTTGGGGTAAAGTAAAAGATGTTTTTTTTTTCGTCTTGTCACGAGCGTGGGACAAAGAAAAAGATTCTGAGTCCCCATGAGGAATCGAACTTCAGACCTTCGGATTCCGCGCTCCGATGCTCTCTCACGATGACGTTCGATTCCTCATGGGGACTCAGAATTTTTTCGTTGTCCCATGCTCGTGAATAGACAAAAAAACATCTTTCTCTATTTCTTTACCAAGCTCAAAACTTACCATCTCTCTTATTTCTTTCTATCTTGGGATAATTTTCTAAAGAAACTGTGGTGCGACGTCGGTGGGAGAGCATAATAGGGTAATTTAGTGTTGTCAACTCAGTTGATAACGTAAATTGGCCACCGCATAAAGTTTAAAAGCTGACGTTTCGCGTGTTAGCCCTTCGTCATATCGATTATCTTGTATTACCCGGCGACGCAGCACAACAGTTTCTTTAAAAAACTTACCCCTTTATTCATTGGTAAGAGATGACCAAGTAAAAATAACATACTCGTAAATCTTAAAAATCTAAAGAAATAAAAATTTTGCCTATAAAGCGGAATAAATGTTAAATTGTAATAATCTGGTTTATACGCCTTCTATAGGTCAGACAAAGTAGGCTGCGAGCAAGCTTATCAGTACTACGGGCATCCAGGACAAGTGGAGGAAAGAAGCTGCGACGAGGTCAATTACCCAGACATCTGCTCGTTCCAAGTTACAAAGTCAGGAGAACAAACATTGCTATGTGACGCTAGTGTCTGCGGGTCATCACGTATTGAAATCGGTTCTATCAATCCATATATGGGCAAAATTTCTAAATGGACGCCAATATCGAATAAAAGAATGACTAAAACCGTACAAAATGCTGTGGAAACAAACAGGAGAAACGAGTTTGGCTTCCTGTTCTTGAGGTGTGGAAATCTCCTTCAAGTGCTCATTTTTCCTCCGATGTTACAGAAACTTAAAGATGGCAGAGACAGACATAACATTAATGTTAACGTGATCCTTTTGGATTCTATATCCAGACCACATTTTTACAGAAGTCTTCCGAGAACTGTGGACGTTCTCCGGAAGATTTCACGTGATCCTAGCTTCAAGGCCACCACCCTGGACTTTGAGCTCTTCCAGAGTGTAGGTCAGCAAACATTTGACAACTTGAGGCCGTTTTTCTCTGGAGTCATACAAGGTACGAATATGAAGCACGTTCTATACAACCGTTTTTTAAAAACGTTTTACGTTCAAATTGGCAAACCTTTACGAGATCTCGTTACAACATGTGTTCGCAAACCCGACTTATTGAGAGCGTTTGTATCCTAGATGATAACGTTGTAACTAACACCGCAAAAACCGTTAAGGCACCTTTGGGCGTGGAGGTATTGTTCGGGACTTTCAAGAGGTGGGGCTATCAGACCCTCTTCCAAGAGGACCTTTGCTGGTTTGACCGTTGGGGAGTGGCCTTGACAGATCTTGAAATAAGAAGAAAACCCAGTACGGACTCAGAATTCATAGAAAGGTAAAGTTTTAAAAAAAATGGGGTTTCTAAAGAGACTTGGTTAGCTTTCTATCTCAATAAAACTGGCCTTAAAGTCGATTATTTGAACGCTTCAGTATCGTGGAAATACTAAACTTTTGATTTTGTATAATTATCTCTTAGTGCCCATGATAAATCTGTCGGCAAAGATTTGACAATTAATGGTAGCTTTTTTTTTTTAAAGAAACCATAATTTGACAGCAAAAAATACCAATAATTTTCCAGGTGGAAAGAATTCCAAGAGATAATAAAAAAGAAACTTATCGATAACTTTGGCTTGATGCATTTCTCCGGAACAGTACTGGAAAAGTATAATGAAACAAACCATTTTGAAACTCCTCCAAAAGTGTGCTTAAATGGACAGTTCTTCAGTAAGTATTTCATGGATTACCTACAAATGGTGTACACTGCTATCAACAAGGACTCTACGGCGAAACCGCTTATTTCGTACATGCATTTCAACACTGGACACGAATATACCGGCAAACGGATAAGAAACACGGACACCAATTTAGCGGAGTTCATCACCAACATGGCGGCGTTACCTGACACTCTTACAATGATATTTTCTGACCACGGTAATAAAAACACTTATTACAGTCAACACTCAGAGGAAGGAAGAAGAGAAGTGTTTGATCCTGTTTTTTTCATGGTTATTCCCGGTGGCGTTGAAAAAATACTGGGCAAGGAAAGGATGACTGCCATAGTTAAAAATCAAAGACGCCTCTTTACATTTCTCGATGTACACCGTGCGCTTATGAGTTTAAAGGACCCTGTTAAGATGTTCTCCCAGAATACTTCACTGGCTGGTATATTTGCAGTCCTACCGGAAAATCGCACATGCGCAAACTTAAGCTTGATGCCGCTGACCTTGTGCAAGTGCGAGGACTTTGACAGATATAATTCGGTTAAAGATAACTCAGACAGTCATAAGTGGTTAGCGGAGTTCGCGCTTGGAACCTTAAACAATGCCATTCAAAAACAACATATGGGAGGTAAGAAGGAAGGGTGTCGGATAACTTGACTGGGTTCGCAGCTTTAAAGAAGTACTTTTCCTTGATGCTAGTAAAGATAAATGAATTTCCATCGTTTTCTTACGATTTAAAGTCATGATTAATTGTAGGCCAGGCCATCAATTGAAGATCGCTACCTGAGCGATAAGGTTCAGCCTAAGGGTTTATTAAGTTACACTCCTAAGGTTACAAGTCAGTCTGAAGTTAAGAAATCATCAGAACATCACTTTCGCGCATCACATATATACACTGTACTCAGCATATTTCTTAGTTTACCCACGAGTTCTCTACCGGCAGCTGGTAGAACATCTGATTGTCCTATCGGAAAGTCTCACACTCAAATCCTCTTTGGTGACCCACGTATTTTCTTTTCCTAGGCTGCTAACAAATGGTTCACGCCTTTTTTTTTTTTAATCACCGCCCTGGTTCGACGAAATAGAATACGCCGTCATTATCGATGTCTTTTTAGTGTTAATTTTTATTCTTCCTAAAGGTGATGATGGTGGGCAGTTATTATCGATTCTAAAAGAGGGATACGGAAATTGCCGACGATTGGTGGGAAAATCGTTCACAAATATTGTACAACGGACCCAAGGAGAGTACATCACCACCACAATGAACATTAACGTGATCCCCCCACCCGGATACAACGAGGACGAAGTTTTCAAGGTTTCTGTCAAACAGTATGCTCAAGCGGATGACAAATTGTGGTTGACTAGCTTTGTGCGGGTGTCCAAGTACAGCAAGTTTGAATCATGCGCAGATAAATCGGTGGATATTAAACTCTGTGCATGCGCCAAACAGGAAACCACTGAACCCATAAACAGTGGACAAAAACGTGCGAAAGAGGTCCCGAACAAAATGTTTGCCTCAACGACTATTCTGAAAGACCTGCACTCAGGCTGTCTCTTATTCTTGAGACGAAATCATCGAACGTTTTCTCTTGCGCTGGAAGTAACGAATGTGTGTTTTGATCGAACCTACAAGTTTGAGCTATCTGGCTCGTCCGGTGAAAGAGTGTATTCTATAATCTTACCAATTTATCTCGAATTAGCTCCGAAAACTTTTTACTTCTTGACCTCCGTTAATAGGTACACTTCTAAAGACAGTTACCCTCTGAATTTTTACGCAGATATAAAAGTTAAATACACCGATTTCGACAAGTTTAAGGATTTGGGAAAAATCGACGTTTCATGAATCTAAAAAAATTTTTGATGCAAATCAACAAAATACTTGTTTTAAATTGTTTTGTTATTGTAGAATATAGTACTTCACATCCTGATTCTCTGTCAGACTTGGACCAGAGCAATTTTGTTTGATTCCTTGATGGGTTACCGTCAGTCTTTTTAAGACTAAAGGAGTGAAAGTGAGAGAAATGATGATGCCGAGGGAACTTGTACTTCCGCCTCCATAAATAAGTACTGAAACTGTTTTTGAGTTATCTATTACTTAAATATCTTTCAGAATAATGAGAATTTTTCACTAAACTAACTGACTAATTGGAATTGAAGTCTGATAATTCCTTACTAACGAGTTGTCTTTTTGTCTCAGTAAAATTTACCTGACCCCACTCTAGTAGTATTGTAATGACCCCTCGTTGGCAGTTAATTTCCTTTGGTCCCCCTTTATACTCTTTTAGCGCGACTGATTCCCCCTCCCTTCCCCACTTAATGAAAAGTATGTCAGTGATCCCTCTGAAAATTCTCCTCCTTTCCCTCCCTGCTCAGGCGACAAATAAAAAACAAACTGTCCCCTTATATATAACAAAATGTGGCGGTTAGGTGCTAGGTCCGATTTAAATCAAAAGTGCGTTTACTAGTAATTTTTTTAAATGTCATTATTTGCAATTAATCTCAAGTTAAAAAGCGGAACTTCTAAACAAAGGCACTCTTTTTTTTCTTTTAAAAAAAAAATACCTAGTACGACTCTGATAGATAATATTTTTGCTCAATATCCACAGTAACCACATGGCTTCTGTGGAAAGAGAATATCCAAAGCTGACTGGCTAATACTGAGTAGGACCCAGAATGTTCGTGAATAATCCAGAATGTTCTGGGCTAATAAATACTCAGTGTCACTGGAGCTGTAGTCTTCCGGAACGATCTCCTGCAGTAATACGTAAGCAATCGCTATTTTAGAGTAGGATTTGTCCCTTCTTATCGCAGGTTCTAAGGACGTGTTGCGTAATCATCAGAATCCTAGAAGACTTCTACACTTTGCTCAATTTACTGGCTTGAAAGTGAAAGCTGTCAATTCTGCGGTCAATGTCACAAGGATCTGAGTAGCTTCAGTTATCGAAGTGGACAAGAAGGCACACTTGAGTAATCTTTCTTTCCACATGGAAACAGTGTAGATGTGGTTGAAGATATCAACAGGGTAGCTTTGATCAGTTCACAGAAGGAAAGTGTATGGCTACCGAGGAAACGAAGACGCCGGGATTGCTTGCGACAAGTGGAGGAGAAGCTGAGAATGGTACTGAAATTAGAAATAAGCATTACAATATTATATGCATGTGTTTTATATTCGCCATTTGCTTTTTGTTGTACTTCCGCGGTGTGTCTGAATACCACTTGCGTTTAGTTTTTAAGTGTAGTCCTTTAGTTCTGCCAAGCAATTATTGCTTTTTCTCCTTTACTGGCAAAACTTAAATTGTACAATAGCCATTTAACGTTTAAAATTTTGGAAGTGTCGTTGTGGACGCCTGCCATCGTTAAGTGTTAAATTTGTGCTGTTAATTTCCATTTAACCGGTTTTGTAGTTGACACTAAAGCTTTATACAAATCGTGATGCTAGTTTAGTTGTCAACGTGTGGTTAACATGCGAAATATTTGCAATCTTCGATACGGTCTTGATAATATAGAGAAATATCAACAAAGCATAAATTCAAATATGTTCCGCAGTAGTGGTTTTACTTGTGGGAAAAATGAAGGGACAGAAGAAGAACGGAAATTTACTTAGTCGTTTTTTGAGTTTTAAATAGCAGAATTTTTCCTAAGGTCAGGAGAGAAGCTGCACTAGTTTGACTTATGATCAATTTGCTGTTCCTTCGAATTCACTGTGAAGAACAGAATCGAGATGAGTAGATAGTGATATCGTTGGCACAAACTTTCGTACCAGCTTGATAATCGACTGTAAATAAGGTCACAAAAATCTTGCTCTTCAGATTGTTATCGAGTCTGTTAATTCAGACTTAATGCGAATTAAGGAAGCTGAACACATGTTAAATAGGCTTTATGTAATCCTCCAACTTCATGCAAACCAGAAATTGCGACACAACGATCACTTAAAAGATAGACAATTGAGTATTAGGGCGAATTACAAACCAATTAAATCAGAGTCTATTTTTGCCGAATGACTTTCGTATACGTCATATTAAAATTACCATAATCGAATGTTTCCGGTGTCAGGCTGCAGTGGTTGACTATGACGCACAGAAAGCCCCAAAACAAGGAAATGATTCAACCACGCGGCAAGAGTTGATAGTCATCCACGGACCGCAATGTCTCATGTAATTAATTGTTAAAACTAAATGCAATTGAAACATTTATTTATACTAAAAATCTAATATATTTTTGAGCACACAGGAGACATCATCGACCTAAGGACCTCTGTGGTGACTGAACTGCAGCTTTCAGACATAAGTGATGACGTAGGTACTTGCTGGCGTGAGCTGGGACCAAAGCTTGATATCCCTTCAGCAAAGATCCAAAACCTGGATAACGATTATTACTGTAGTCGCGACAAAGCAAACGCCTTACTCCTCATGTGGCAACAGAGGGAAGGGAGCAGTGCAGTGGCAGGGCGTTTGGCGGATGCTTTGGTAAGCATTGAGAAAAAATGCATAGCAGAAAAGCTTCTTGGTGAGTAGGTATAACTGGTAAGATGAGTGAGTGGCTTATGAAGACTGCTTCTGTAATGCGTATACAACTGACAAGGTACCCAATTTCTAAATTTATTTAATGAAGAAAAAAATTATCATGATGAATAGCTACATTGCTACCTTGTTACACAACAATGGGTTTTTCAGTGGTTTTCAAGTCTTATCTTAACAAAAAGGGGATTCCAACTAAGCTGTTTGGTGGCTAAAGTAAGAGATTACATCCTTGCAAGGAAAAAAATCATTTTCCTACGGCAAACATTGTAAATGGTTACATTAGTTTACTGGTCTCCTTTGGTTTGCCTAGAGTACCATCAACATTCATGATCAGTTTGGCTGTTTATTACTTGGAAATATCTGCTGACTTCTCATAATTTACTTTTACAACATTTATTATCAGGAGCGGATCATGGAAAATTGCCGATGTGTAGAAACATTCCCAAGGGTCACGTTATCAGTTTAACAGTTATTCATGACCTGGGTGTGGGGCTTGATAAGGTTAGTAGCTAACAACACGTTTTCTACCATAACTACTGAAAGATATAATTTTCACAAGAACCACATACATATTTTGTTACCCGAAAGTTATAATCCACTTCCTCCAAGCTGATGAGTGGTACGTCTGCCCTCGACTCCTACAGAGCTAATCGCTTTCGGTTTTTTTTTTAAAAGTATGAAATCTAGATCAGCATTGGATCAGAATTATTACTCAGACGGATTTCCACCATTTCCTAGACATATATACAATTTATTATCAATTACTTTTTAAAAGTAAAATATCAAACTTACCGTAGTTGAGCGAAAATTTTCATAAAACTAGTTCATATTTGTTTACAATAAACTATTTCTCACTTTTTCTAGAGTTTGGTGTGCGAAGATGCGCAAGGAAATAAATTCATGGTAAAGGCATTCAATAGCAGTGAAAATTTTTTAAAATTGGAAGAGGTAATTTCTCCACTTTTCCCATTTATCCGAGGACCGGACCAGAAGCCTCCTCTAGTGTGTCATTTTTTCTCTTGGTTTATGAACTTTTCTGCCAGTTTCAAGGAACAAGTCAGAAGCTTGCTCACCACTATTACAACCAAAAGCAGTTCAATCTCTTCCATTCTCCTTAGGAGAAGTCGGATGAGTGTTATTAGTGTATAATTTTTTAGCTCATTTGCCGAACATAAGTCCTTTCAAGGAGCTGTGGTTAATGGTTATGTTTATGACACGAAAAACCATATATTCTTCGAGACTCAAATTCTTTTTTGTCTGAAAATGTGTCAAACTTAGTTCATGAGTTTGCTGGAAAGCTTACAGAAGGTCATAGACAGATCCAGAATGATGGTATCCAATTTCGCTGAATAGTTAACAAAGGTATACATCAGGCTGTGTATAAAAACAGTACAAAATAAAATAACCTTTTCAAAGTTCTATTTGCAAAATTCGTCAAATTCAGACGCTGCGATCCAAATCTTTCTTCGCCTGCACAAACCAAATTCTACTGTTTTCCATCCCTATGTCACGTTTTGTCTCAAAGTCGCTCAAGCAATATTTGCATTATAACGCGATGTTCACTTGGCATGCTTCTTTCGCTTGCATCTGATAACAACCTGAAATTATGGATAAACGACAGTAAATTTCGCGAGTTTTCTTTCGCCAGAAAATCAAGTGATTATTTTCGCTAGCTTAAGTGTTATTACTGACTGATCCCGCCGCCAATGCCCGTACAAGATAATTCAATTTAATACATTAGTCAATAAACCTAATCTGTTCCCATGGTTCTTGTTTTACATCGGATCGTAAACAATCGAAACGATGTACAGTGCTGGGTTTGTGCTTGAACCCGAAATTTTATTTTCAATCGAAAGGTGCCATTTAAAGCAATGATGCTATAAACTGTAACAAGCTTCTTTGTCGTTTATGCGCGGTTACTTTTCCATCGGGCTCGGGCAAGTTCGGGACGACTAGTTAACTAGAACGGTGCGCGAGTGAGTGACTCGTTTGCATATCGGAACCTCCACAAAATCTTGTTTCTACCCTTCGCGTAAAACGAGTTAGAAATGATCATTTGGAAAAAATCACTCTGTGATTTAGGGTAGATCTCTGAAAACGATGTTGTGGTTTTGATCAAATGTTCCATGCTCTTTACTTCATTTGTTTTAGCAGACACTTGTGAGTAGGAGGTTCTTAGAGACTGTTGTTGACGAAAAGAAGGAAAGCCTAAAGCGATATATTTCAGCACAACTTCAGGACCAGAGGCTCCAAATGAAGAAAGAGCAACCAGCTCGTGGAGATGTAAATATGAGGAGGAAGAGGATTCAACAAATGATGAAAGCGTGGAGCAATCGCTTCTGTAATGTGAGAAACATCGCAACATTTGTCTGAGGATTTTTAAGGCTTTTATTGAGCTGACTGCCGAGGTTGGACGCCTGGAAATGAGGGCCATTATAATACACTCAATATTTCATCGTCGTTTGCATACGGTTTAAGTTGCCCGATTGCTTCTTTTGAGTGTTGTACCTCCGAAGAATCCTTCGCCATATAACCGAGTGCAAACCATTAATTTGTTTTCATTGATCAAAGCAATTTACTCTCAACAGGATAGTCATCGTGAAATACGAAGGGCAGTCACTAAATATGATAAGCACTTAAAAATCAGTGTTATTTTCGTTTTGCAGAAACCCAGACATTTTTCAGAAAGCGACCCACCAAAAGGGATTGGATCGAAGGTATGATATAGTCGTTATTAAAATACAACCATCAATCGAAGAAAGTAAGAAAAAATCTGAAAAATTTAGGTTGTCTTTTCCTCAGGAAGAGAAGCACGGAAATAACTTTTTTATGACCTAACGATGCAAACTATGCTAGAACTAGGAAGGAAATTGATTTGAACATGAACAATCGATTATTCATCTCAGACATTAAAGTTTAAATTCAGGATATTAAGCTCGTGGAGGCGACTTTGTGTACTTACCTAACCCTAAGTAATATCATTTAATTTCATAGGTATTCATAAAGCCTTGTCGTAATCCATGTAAAATCTTCTTCTTCATTTTGTTTGTTGTCATCTCTTTATATTTTCTTGGTTGCACTATGATTATTATCTCCCTTAGAAGACAAGAATGAAAATAAATTCTAACGAAGCTAATGACTCTGTTTTTTTATTACTTTGTTTTTATCTCATGGTTCAAGAATCCCTTGTTGAGGCTGAGATCGGGAGATAAAGAAGCTTGCGTCCTCCTGTCAATCTCAAAACCCTCCAGCGATGAAGAATATCAAACCAAAGATTCGGGAGCAGGAAAAAAACACAGAAGAACTCATAATTGTTTACAAAAAAAAAATTGATTAGCATAATCTCTTTTAGAAGACGCCCTCTGCGAAAGGCAAATTTAAACAGACGAATTTGCCTTTCTGGCTTTAGTTGTATTTGGCAAGTTTAATATAAACGAAAATTCGTGAACACACGAAAAACTATTTAGCCGATCAGCTTTCAGTATTTTCTTTGGATAATAGGAGTGTTCGAGGATTCACGATACCTCGAGATAGAACTCTTGTCTAATTTGATGGTGAAGTGCTATTTCTCGATTATCCAATGCAATTTCATTTTGAGACATTACAAGTGTCTCCAATTAGCTCTATTAGCGAAAAAGAAGAGGCAGAATGCAAAATTTCGCCATATTTGCTCCTTAGTATAACTGTAGCCAGTTTGAATGTAAGACGTAATAGCGAACATGAATGGATATCGCACTTATACAAAAAGGGAAATTTGGATGGTGATTAGCGGACTGTGATTAGTTATAATTTGACGGAATATCTCAGTGTAAGGGGGCCTTTTTCGGTGAGAATCTTGATCGCTTGTTATTTTCAGAGTAGGATCTGTTTCAACCCAGATCATGTCTTAAAGGCATACAACTCTCTTGAGATCGATTTTGTTACTATACAATCAAGTATCTCTCATCCTGATATTGAGTCAGACGTGGTCCTGAGCAATTTTGTTCAATTCCTCGATGGTTTTACCGTCAGTCTTTAAAGATTTAAGGAGTGAAGGTGAGACAAACGATGATACCAAGGAAACTTGTACTTCCGCCTCGATAAACAAGCAATGAAACCGTTTTTGCGTTATCTATTGCTGAAAGATCCTTCATAGTATTGACAGTTTTTTACAAAATTGACCAGTTGGATTTGGTGAGTCCTATAATTCCATAATCAGTGGCCAGATATTATCTGTCAACTGGTCTCAGTAAAATTAACCCGACCCCACCCTGGTAGTATTCTGATGATCCTCCTCATTGACAGTTGATTTTCCAAAGTCCTCCCTTTATACTCTGTTAGAGCGACTGATACCCTCTCCCTTCCCCACTTGATTAAAAGCGTGTGCCCCCCTCCGCTCAGGCGATAAATAAATAGAGAATAATAACTGGGTACGCTTAGATATGGAATTTCTCTTCGAGTGTTTAACTCGATAACGCACGAGTGAGCGCCGCGAACAAGTGAGATGTCGAGTTGAACACAAGAAGAATAAGTCCATATCTACAAGCAACCATATATTATTTTGTTTATCATATAAACACAACAGCCCTTTACTGACAATGAAAAGTCAACTTTATTAAGGAATTAAAATAAAAGGATCGACAATCCTGAATAAAAATCGTAAAGTGCGTTGGCGCTAAGACTCAACATGAAAAAAATATGTTGGAACACTACAAAACAAACCATAGACAATTTGCAGTATGCAAAATTTTCAGTTATTGACCTGGTTCTTACCGACAGAAGAAATATTTTAGATACACGGCCAAAATCGGCCTGTGATAAATCTCTCAGTTGTCGTTTTCGCTCTCAGCCACGAGATTGCTATCACCAACTGAAAACCACTGAAAACGTAACGTTCGGTTTTTCTTTCCGTATTTTGGTTTTCTTCCGTTTCTAGGCAAGTTTGAACGTTACTGTTTGTAAGCGATGAGGATTTTTCAGTGTTTTGGCAGCCATAATACGAAAAAATTCTCTCAAACTACCTTGTATTGAGAATCGTGAGGGCTATGTGATTCATTCATCAACCTGACTAAGTGGCGCGAAAGGCGAGTGACGGGAGCTGATTGGCGATATCAAACACGTGAAAAAATAAGACATTTTTACACGTGTGTTGTTACGGCTTTAACAGGGCGAGAAATCCTTGAATAATAGCGTAGTTTATGTGATAATTTCTTTTCCATTATTCATAACAGAATTTGGTGTCCGATTTGTATCCAAGGAAAAGTGGGTTTTCCGATAACTTCTTAACTCTTATTATTTACATTTAGTCCCAAGTTAAAAAGCGAACCCTCTTACCCAAATTCTTAAAAAAAAAAGAAAAACATCTAGTACGACACCGATATATGATATTTTTGCTCATATATTGAAAGGAACCATACGGCCTCTGTGACAAGATTTTACATATTGTTGCTCACAGAATATCCAAGCTGGCAGAATGTTCGTGAATGATCCGGAATGTTCTGAGCATGGGTCTGGACCTGCATCCATCCGGAACGACCTCGGTGCACCGATATTAATTTAAGTAATGTGATTTTTCCCTTTTCATCCCAAGACGTGGCTTTTCCGTGTTTTTTAAGTGAAAAGTCGTCCAAGTGAACGAGAGGGTACACATAGTCAAACAATTGAGTAATATTTATGTCCTCGGATAAACATTGAAGCTGTAATCAGTTCACAGAGGGAAGTAAAGTGTTATTTAGGAAGCAAGTCCTATGGCTACCGAAACGCCAACATTGCCTGCGACAAGCGGAAGAGCAGCTGAGAATTGTATTGAAATTAGAAGTAAGCTTTCAAAATATTATATGTGCGTGGTAAATATATGACTAGTTAGTTTAGTTCAGTCTCGGTAGCTTGTCATAATATTACTTGTGTTCAGTTTTAAGTCTCATCCTTTTGTTCTGCAATTGTACGTTTTTCTCTACAGGACAGGCAAAGCTTAATCGATCATGTAACAGTAATTTAACTTTCAAATATTTTTGGCAGTCTTCGCTGCAAGTGCTTGTCATCTAAAAGTGGTTAATCTGCGTTGTTTAATTATCATATAACCGCTATTTTAATTACCTCATCGCTCTATATATCTCGTGGTGTTCGTTTAGTTGTCCTCGTGTAATTTGTATGCGAGATTGTTGCCGACTTGATTTCAGCGTTGATAATCCAGAGCGATATTTACAATGTATAAGGTTAAGATATGTGATATAATGATTTTAGCGTGGGAAAGATAAAGGGAACGGTGCAAGAACGGACATGTAAGACGTCGAATTGGCTCCGTTTACATGCTGCTCCTTTTTTGAAGATCATGATGGAAGCAGCAGTGGTTAGAATTTTAACCAATTTGCTGTTCCTTATTTGTAAAGGACACAATCTCGATGAGTAGATTATGACGTCAATGGCACCAAAAATATAAGTTTGATAATAAACCGCATATAATATTATGGAGATTTTGTAATCTGTTCATTCCATCTTAATGCGAATGAAATGGGAGCCAAACTTTTGTTAACTAGGAACACTCTGATTACCTGCAAAACAGAAATTCCAATAAAATAATCACGTATCAGATTGATGTTTGAGACTTTAGGCATGATGTTTTCGACGAACAACAAACAGGAAACTGAAATTATGCCTGTACACTTAAGGCCGTTAGCGTCATCAAATAAACTTTTGGCTTTTTTCCGCTATGATTTTTTGCTTGAATCCAGGATTTTAGAAAAATTGAGTCAAATCATAATTAATTTTAGCCGAATGACGGCGCCATATATCCATTATCTTTGCTGCGTATTTTTATCAAGCTTCAGTGTTTGACCATGGCAATTGTAAGATCTTGTTATAAATATAACCAAAGACATGCGTGACGTTTGAAAGAGTTTAGGCAATATTCAGATAACGGTTGAAGATATATGAAATGAAAGTCTGATGTTACTAATACTGATGACGCTTCTGTAAACCAGAAGTATCCGAAATAAAAATCAGCTCCCCAAAAAATGAACTCGACTGAATAAAGGTCGAGATTTAGATTTCTTCAAGGCTGAATAACTTAGTGTTATTTCTTAGTAAAATTAATTTAGAAATTGTTTAAAACTGGGTAGCGTGGTGTGACTTAATGATGCAAAGATGACTGTCAATTAATTTGAATACAGAGAATCATTTACTAACCAAACCCTAATACATCATCACTCAAGTAACCTATATATACCTGTTTGGCTGTTTAGAATTAACCATACTAAACATAAGCCTAACATAAGCCTAACCCCTGTCCAGTTAACACCAGGTACGTTTTCTACTCCAGGGCAAGAAGAAGACCTCACTAAATTTCAACTAGGATGATTCTCGTAATCCATGCAATGTTAAAAACTACACGCAATTAAAAAATTAAATTAGCTAAGAGTCTAATATCCCTTTGTGCACGCAAAAGACTTCAACAACCAAAGGACCTCCGTGGTGACAGAACTGCAGATTTCAGACGTAAGTGATGACGTAGGTACTTGCTGGCGTGAGCTGGGACCAAAGCTTGATATCCCTGCAGCAAAGATCCAAAACCTGGATAACGATTACTGTTGTAGTCGCGACAAAGCAAACGCCTTACTCCTCATGTGGAAACAGAAAGAAGGGAGCAGTGCAGTGGCAGGGCGTTTAGCGGATGCTTTAGAAAGCATTGGGAAAAAATGCATAGCAGAAAAGCTTCTTGGTAAGTAGGTATACCTGGTAAGATGAGTGAATGGTCTACGTATACAACTGACAAGCTGAAAGAATAAACACACAAAGAAGTCATAAAACAGTTGACATTTTTAACGTATAACGCAGTCGTGGAGCTTTCCGTGGTTTCCTTTTCTTGTCTTAACATAAAGGCGGACTAGGATAGTTCTCCCAATACTCTCCCCCCCCCCCCCTTGAAGAGGAGGCTGCTCTCGTGAATCAAAACGCTTTTACTCGTCCTTATCTCAACACACCTAATGATCAATCAGAGCGCGCCCACTATTTAAGGGATTTTGTCAATTCTTAATAGAGTAATTGACAACTTAGTATAAAACGCGATCCTGGATTGCGTTGCTTCGCACCAAATACTCTTTCAAGTGATCATCAAATTCAAAACTAGAATCAAAGGTAACTTGTAGACCTGCACTTCAAGTATTTTGCTTGTTTATGCTTAGTGCTCTCATTGGCTCCTAACCAGTGACATTTGCTTTTGTCCTAGTTGGCATTTAGTACAACTTTGGGTTCGGTGTTACGAAAACCGTGAATTGTCCAGCTATTTTATTATTCGGATTGTCTGCACTTATAAGGGTTGCTTAGTTAAGAAATTGCTTCCCTGCAAGGAATAAAAATCTTTCGCTGCAAATATTCTAAATGGTGACATTTAGTTTGCTGGTATAGTTTGTTCCATGGGTGGCAGGGAGGTTGTCCTGGTGGGGAACATGAAGCATTAAACTGATCGACGCAGAACTCTGAACTCATAATAATTTCCTATCAACACACTAGGAGTGGATTATGCGAAAATGTTGAGGTGTGGAAACATTCCTAAGGGTCACGTCATTAGTTTAACAGTTATTCATGACCTGGGTGAAGAGCTTAATAAGGTAAGTAGTTGACAACACGCTTTCTACAATAACTACTGAAAAGTTGATGATTAGCATGTCTGCCCCAGACCTCGTGAACAAAAGGATGAAACTGGACCAGCGGTAAACCAGAAAAATCACTTAGATGGATTTTGCCATTCTCTGGGCATAGTTTTACTACCAAATAATCTCAAGTAAAATAATGAAATTGCTTCGAAATTGTTTGCAATCAACTATTTGTATTTTTTTTTTAGCTTATGGTGTGCAAAGATACACAGGGAAATAAATTCATGGTTAAAGAATTCAACAGCAGTGACAATTTTTTGAAATTGGAAGAGGTAACTTCTTCACTTATCCCATCTATCCAATTAGAATGTTTCAATGAGTATTTGGTAAAATGCACCCTTCGATTCAAGGTTTATCTTCGAAAATTATGTCATAGTTTTAATTGACCCATTTATCTTTCATTTGCTTTGACAGACGCTTGTAAGCAAGGGATTTTTAGAAACTGTTGTTTTAGCCAGACAGGAAAGTCTAAAGCGCTATATTTCATCGGAGCTTCAGGACTTGAGACTCCAAATGAATAAAGGGCAACTGGCTTGTGGAAATGTTGATAAAACAGATGGGATTCAAGATGCCTCTAAAGACAAAACAGAGCCCACAAGCAGCTTAATGAATGAGGAAGCGGATCCGTCAAATAATGAAAGCGTGGGAAAATTGCTACAGTCATGTGAAGAACATCGCAGCTATTTTCAGAGAATGTTTGAAGCTCTTATCAAGCTGACTGCTCAGGTTGGGCAACAAAGTGAAGATAATGTTAATTGTATTAAAAAACTTTTGGACTTTACTACGGAACTCCAGCAAGAAGAAACAGCACTTTTCTCCAAAATAGAATTAGTAGGTACTCAGAGCCAACTCAAGGACGAGCAGCACACGGATCGTTTTGAGGAATTACACAAATGGAAAACGCATCATGCATTGCAATTGAAGGAAGTCGAAAAACTGCTGTTAGGACTGCTTCATCAAATGACAACTGAGAGAAAGACGAATTATAAAGGGAGGCTGGTAATTTCTAATAGAGTAACATTTTTCCACTTTAGTATTGGTAAGAACTTGATTTCGAGTGAAATTTGGTGTTAATAAACGCGGGTAAATTTTTCAAAGACAGCAAAATTGCACGAGCCCGTAGGGCAAGTGCAATTTGTAGTCTAAAAAATTTACCCGTACTTACTAACACCACATTTCACTTGAAATCATGTTAGCGAGCGAGCGCGCGCTATTTTTAATTTGCACTCATGTCACTACTTTGCACCCGTGTTACACGAGAATGCACTCGTTTTCAGCCAATCAGAAGCGCAACATTTTTCTATGTACACAACTAATTCCTTAATATCACATGCAAATTGTAATTGGATTGTCAAAAGCTCAGTGGAGGAATTTTATAAAACAATTTATTTAGAGGGGAGAGAGAAACCCAGGTTTTTACGTCCAATTAACATGGTAAATGAAACTTTGTACGACAGACCAAGCTAGGGCCTTGGTAGACCATGATTGTTTGAAGTCTTATGTTAGTCTACAAGTTCTTAATAAAATTCTGCCTTAGGTTTTTGTTTTATTGAACTCAAACGAGCAGGCAGAATCTTATCATCAATGATCCTTAAATCTTCTCCCCTTTTTGACTTTTCTGTTTGTGATGTTCTCTCGTATTTACATTTGTTCCTCCTTTTTTCCAAAGCCCTCTCACCAGAAAACTGAACTAGAAGGCCGATCAAAACCTCTGCCAGGATACGGAAGGAAGGTAAGGGAATTTGATTTAAATCTGAGATTATTAAAACACAGATCACTTTACTGAATCAAACTGCAGATATAAGTAATTGACTAAGCCAATATTCTTGGTCAATATGAGCAGTTATAATGCGCTATATATATCCATGTATGCAATCGATTAAAGTTGTCATTTTGTCTATGTCGACAGTAGCTAAATTTCTATGTTCAGATTTAAATTTATTTTTGTTTTGCAGAGTCCCAGACATTATTCAGAAGGCGACCTATCAAAAGAGACTAAAACGAAGGTATGATGCAGTCTTTATTCAAATACCACCATTAAACTAAAAACGTTAGAAAAAAAACGTTTGGGCTGTCTCCTCAAGAAGAGAAGCTTGAACAGAACTTTTCTATGACCCAAAACGCAAACTTGGCCAGTATTGGAAAGAAAGATCTTAACATGAACACGAGCAATTGGTTATTCATTTTAGACATCGAAGACGGTATGCATGACATCGACGGCTTTGGGAGACGACCCTACGTACTTATTATTATAATTAAAAATTATCTCATACACAGTTGTACTTTTACATAAGAATAATATTATTACATTGTCTCTTTCATTGTGTTTGTTCTTTTCTTTTCTTTTTTCTTGATTGCACTATAATAGAGTTATCTCCCTCAGAAAACAAGATTGATAATGAATTCTTACAAACCTACTGACTCTTTTTTTTTTTGGATTAATATCAGCATCTGGGCAACTGCCCACCTACCCCTCCCCTAACTCAACAACAGGTTAGGGGAGGGGTAGGTGGACAGTTGCCCAGATACTGATATTGATCCTTTTTTTTTACTTTTTTTCTCCTCATGTTTCAAGAATCCCTTGTCTTGGCTGAGATCGGGAGACAAAGAAGCTTGCGTCCTCCTGTCAATCTCAAAACCATCCAACGATGAAGAACATCAAACAATAGATTCGGGAGCAAGAGATAACACAAATAAATTAATGGCCTGACATTGTTTACGATGAAAAAGTTGTTTAGAATAACCTCGTTTAAGGAAGCCCTCTTCGATATTGAAAGGAGCACACGAACATCTTTCATTTTGTTGATCACACATTTCATTGTGACTCGATTGTGCGAAAATATTTAATAAAAAATATTTTTACTTCAAACTGATATAATTTAAGAAAATAAGAATCTACAGTAACTGACTGTAGAAAGTCCTTGTTCGCCTTGTTATAAAGGTGAATTAGCTTTTTTGCCAAAATTATAGTTGCCAAGTTGAATATGAAAAAAAATTCGTTAGCACTCTTTAGTCGATCAGCTTCCAGTATTTCCTTTAAATTATGGGAGTGTTTGAGGATTCACGATACATGAAGATAGAACTCTTGTATACTTAGATGGTGATTTTTATTTCTTATCTTTCTTGGTTATCAATTACATTTTGATTCCATTACGCGTTTCTCAAACTTGCTTTATTATAATTATTATCTTCACACTTGAACAAAGTTCATAGAGGTATGTGTGAACGCAAATTCAAATTTTTTCGTACTCTTAAAATGAAAAAAAAATGTTGTTCGTGTTCTCTCCTGATTTCGATTACATAATATTACAATACGTCAGTAACCATCATAAATCTGGTTTTAAAACAACTTGATTCGCTCCTATGATTGAAGGGGCGACTTTAATTTGAAGATTTCATCACTAACTGATTTTCGCGTACATGGAATTTATTTTGCACTCGTAATAGAAGAAGAAGTGGTCAACTTAAAAATTAAATTAATATAACAAAGAAGGTTATTGCACATGTCAATTTCGGTTGAAGCGACGGGCAAATATTATACTTACAATTTGTGTTCTATATGCGACTAGTAAGCTTCGATATGCGATCGGTGGTGACTCTTTGGAAATTTAAGTTGCGTAACGAACTTTTAGGTTTTTAAATAACTAGTCACCTGATCTGTTTTTGGCACGTAGCGCTAAGATAATTAAATATTCACAAGAAAAAAAAAATGACAAACGGCTTGAAAAATGTAAATCACAACTTCTTATTGAAGTTTACATCATTGGCAGAAAAAACATCGCGAGGGACTCGGAGATGGAAAAAAGTTACAAGTTTGATGCGATCTTAGCTAATTTTTACATGTAGAGGTGAGCTGCCGCTCTACAAACAATATTAGCTTGTACAATGAAGATTTGATGTCTTTTACACCACTTACTTTTTTTTCGGTTTTTGATTTGTTTCCTATTTAAGATTTCCTTTTTCTGAAGTTAACCAATTTAAAAAAAAAATAGGATAATTTTGTGTGTGTCCAGAGCTCTTCGATTTATCATAAATCGGTGCTGAGGCGCTGCCGACCGAGAAGATTGATGGGCTCTGGGAATGAGAATGCTCTAAAATATTAATGAATTTTAAAACTTTGATTTACTTTGTGTGAAGGGTGAAAGATGAAAATCCTGTGTTTTCTTGAATAAGCGCTCTCGCGCGAATAGGAGCCCTCCCCCGAAAAAGCCCCACTTCCTAGGCCAAAATGTTAATTAAGTGTCCCCCCCACGTAAGCGCCCCTCCCCACCTCACTTTCTCAAATTACTAGAAATACAAGGAAAACCTGTTTTTGTTTCCAATTTATTTACAACGTTTTAATTCTCAACTACAGCGGAATCAAATACAGAAACATAGTTTCTTTTTGTTAACTTACTTCCATTTATTTCTATCTCCATGTGCTTTAAGAGATCCTTTATATGCATTATCTGTTAATTTAATTTTAGCCCTATTACCGCGCTCTCGGTAAATGCCGTAAGCTTCCCAGGCACAATTCTTCGAGGACCGTTAGTTTGTACGATTATGAAGTTATTGGGATTTTTTTAAAGAAAACAGTTTACAAGGAATAAAAACTCAATCAAAATGTGTGACCAACAAGCTTTTAAGTGTCAGCTCCATGGACATGGTTCACATTGTAAGTTCCAATGGCATTGTCGCTATACAATTTTTCACAAAATTGACCAGCTGGTGTCGGTAAGTCCTATAATTTAGAAAGGTCATCATTTGTCTCTTTGTCACAATTAAATTCACCTGATCTTTTGGCGACCACTTATCCCCCTTCCGGTCCCCACTTGATGAAAATTCCTCTCACCCCTACCCTCCCCCCTGCCCAATGTGACTGGTCCCTTACTAATAAAAAATGCGGCATTTACGTTCTAAGTCCGATTTATGTCCAAAGAAAAATGGGTTTTCTGATCACTCAAGAGTCATTATTTGCACTTAATCTTTGATTAAAAGCGGTGACTTTTTCCAACAATGACTAAGAAGAAAATATAACACGGCACTTATATATGATATTTAGCTTAAGTTTGAGAGGAAAAGTACAGCTTTTGTGAGAAGAGTTTATAGACCGCCACTTATAGAATATCCAAAGCCGCCGACTGGCAATAATGCCTCTGGGCCCGCGTCTAAGAAGCTCGCGATCGTTATATTTAGTACTAGCATTTTTTCCTCTTTTCATGGCAAGACGTGGCATTTCGGTGTTTTTGTAAATATCAGATTAAAATCCACGAGGGGTGAACCGCAGTAATCTGCGATAATTAACCTGCAGAGCAGGCGTAATTTTCGGGGGCAAGTGCTCAGTATTATCTTGGTAAAAACTTTTAGCTGTCATATTTGATTTTACGGCAGCGCAAGGCTGGCGAGAGAAAAAATTTGTACCAAGGGAGTGAGTGACGGGTAAAAATAAGGAGAGGGGAGGGGATGGGACTATGAATACTTCCGCCTTATCCCGCCCCCTCCCCCCGCTGTCGACTCTCTAAATCATGCATGGTCGGTACACACGATCGATTACACGATCGAGCTAGAGCTTCTTAACGTTAACTCGCTCTAATGAGACGCCTGCCCTGCAAGTTATGTTACACTTTGTCGTATTTACTGGCTTGAAAGCGAATGCTGTCAGTTCTGTCAATATCACCACAAGGATCCGAGTAGCTTTAGTTGTTCAAGTTAACGAGAAGGCAAGCTTATTCAAAAACTTGAATAATATTTATTCGCTTGTGACAAGATGTGTTTGAAAATATTGTCGAAAATGGCCTTTTGGTGAACATTGAAGCTTTGATCAGTTTACAGAGGGATAGTAAAGTTTTATTGAGGAAACAACAAGAAGAAAGAGAAGAGAAACAAGTCCTATGGCTTCCGAGGAAACAAAGACGCCGACATTTCCAGTGACAAGCGGAATAGAAGCGGAGAATGCTATTGAAATTAAAAGTAAGCTTTCACAATGTAATAAGTTATGTACGTGGTAAATATGTGACTATTTGGTTTAGTTCGGTCCCGGTAGCTTGTCATAATACTACTTGTGTTCAGTTTTTAAGTATCATCCTTTGGTTCTCCCAGTGCACTTTTTCTGTATCGGCAAAGCTTGATAATGTGATCAATTATTTAACAGTAATTTAACATTTAAATTTTTTTGGGACTCTTCGTGGGTGCTTGTCATCGATCTTAAAGTGGTTAATCTGTGCTTTTTAAATTGTCATATAACCAGTCTTTTATTTAACCTTAAGGCGCTATGTATCTCGTGACGTTAGTTTGGTTGTCGATGTGTGATTTGTATGCGAGATTATTGCATTTGTGCGTTGATAATCCTGAGTAATATTTACAATGTATAAGGTTAAAATATGTTCCGCTATAGCGATTTTAGAGACCAAAAAGACTGGGCAAGTACAAACTCGAACTGGCTCCGCTTACACTGAGTTTTTCTTTTGCCGAGTTTATCATGCTGCTCATTTTTTAAAGGTCAGGATGGAAGCAGCGCTGGTTAGAATTTTAACCAATTTGCTGTTCCTTATTTGTAAAGAAGAGAATCTCGATGAGAATATTATGACGTCAATGGCATAAAAAATATATGCTTGAAAATAAACCGCAGACAATATCATGTAACCGGCTCAGATTGTTTTCAAATCTGTTCATTTCATCTTTATGTGAATGAAATGAGAGCTAAACTTATGTTAACTAGGAACGCTCTGATTACCTGCAAAATAGAAATTCCAATAAAATAATCACGTATCAGATAGACATTTGGGAGTTTAGGCATAATGTTTTCGACGACTGAACAACAAACGGGAAGCTGAAATTATGCCTATCGTTGTACGTTTTAGGCCATTACTGTCATAAAGTAAACTTTTTCCCTTTGAATTGAACGAAAGATTTTCTGCCATTTTTTAAAGGTTTGATTCCAGAATTTTGGAAAAGGTGAATTAAATCAGGGTTAATTTATGCCGAAAAACGGTTCTACATATCCATTATGTTTGCCGCACATTTACCCTGTGTCAAGCTTCAGTGGTTGGCTATGGCACTTGTAAGATCTTGTTATAAATATAACCAAGGAGATGCGTGACGTTTGAAAGAGTTTTAGCAACATCATTTGAAGTTATATTAGGCAAAATCCTGATATAAATAATATTAAACGAATATGGAAGCGATCCCCGCAATTATAAAAACTACTACTTTACAAGTGATGAAATAAGACCTGAAAAAAATATCCTTGCAGTTATGAACACTACTTAAGTTGGCTTGTTAGCTCAGTTGGTAGGGCTTGCTACGGTATCGCAGAGGTCATGGGTTCAAATACCGTGCGGGCCTGAATTTTTTTCAGGCCTCGTTTTCACCACTACTTAATTAGTGTTCTTAACGGTGAAGATCGCTTCCATATACGTGTTTGGCTGTTTAGAGTTAACCATACTAAACAGAAGCTTTACCCCTTTACGTTCTTGCTATCCAATTAACACCGGGTTAGTTTTTTTTCTACTTCAGGGCAAGAGGAAAACCTCGTCAAATTTCAACTAGGATGGCTCACGTAATCCAATGTTAAAGACTACGCGTAATTGAAACATGAATTTAGCTATGAGTCTAATATCCCTTTGTGCACGCAGGAGACTTCAACGAACCAAGGACCTCTGTGGTGACAGAACTGCAGCTTTCAGACATTAGTGATGACGTAGGTAATTGCTGGCGTGAGCTGGGACCAAAGCTTGATATCTCTGCGGCAAAGATCCAAAACCTGGACGACGATTATCGCTGTAATCGCGACAAAGCAAACGCCTTACTCCTCATGTGGAAACAGAAAGAAGGGAACAGTGCAGTGGCGGGGCGTTTAGCGGATGCTTTGGTAAGCATCGGAAAAAAGTGCATTGCAGAAATGCTTCTCGGTAAGTAGGTATACCTGGTAAGATGAGTGAATGGTCTGCGTATACAACTGACAAGCTGAAAGAATAACTACACAAAGAGGTCTTAGAAAACAGTTGACATTGTTAACGAATAACGCAATCGAGGAGCTTTCCGTGGTTTCCCTTTCTCGTCTTAACATAAAAGCGGATTGGGATAGTTTTCCCAATAATATCCTCCCCCCCTTGAGGCTGCTATGAATAAATTTTTGTTAACGCATCCTTGAATCTAAAACCTTTTACTCATCCTTATCTCAACACACCTACTGATCAATCAGAGCACGCTTACTATTTCAGGGATTTTGCAATTCTTGATAGGGCAATTGACAACTTGGTGTAAAATACGATCCTGGATTGCGTTGCTTTACACCATGTTTTCTGTCCGATGGGCCCAGGAAACTCGCGCTACTCTTTCAACCTATCAAATCCAAGAATAACATCAAAGTTGACTTGTAGACCCGCACATCAACTATTTTGCTTGTTTATGCTTTGTGCTCTTATTGGCTCCTGACCAGTGATATTTGGCTTTGTTATAATTAAAAGTTAGCAAAACTCTGGATTCGGTTTTACGAAAGCCGTGAATTGTCCGGCTACCCTATTATCCCCATTGTCTGCACTTATAAGGGCTGCTAAGTTAAGAAATTGCCTTCCTGCAAGCAATATAAATCTTTACATAACTGCAAATGTTCTAAATGGTGACATTTAGTTTGCTGGTACAGTTTGTTGCGGGGGTGGGTGGGGTGGAAGTTGTCGGGGGGGGGGGAAGAGATGAAGCATTGAACTGATCAACGCATAACACCTAACTCATAATTATTTCCTATCCACAAATATACTATTAGGAGTGGATAACGCGAAAATGCTAAGGTGTGGAAACATTCCCAAGGGTCACGTTATCAGTTTAACAGTAATTCATGACCTGGGTGAAGGGCTTGATAAGGTGAGTAGATAACAACACGTTTTCTACAATAACTACTGAAAGATAAAATTTGAAAATAACCGCATGCAAGTTTTGTTACAACACGGTTATAATCCATTTCCTTCAAAGTTGATGAATAGCACCTCTGCCTTGGACCCTCCAGAGCTAGAAGCTTGAATTTTTCTTGTGATTAGGACTCGTGAACAAAAAGTTGAAACTTGAACCAGCGATAAACCAGAAAAATCACTCCGATGGATTTTGCCAATCTTTGGGCATAGTTTTAACACCAAATACTCTTTACAAGTAAAATAACAGAATAACTTCAAAATTGTCAGCAATAATATATTTGTCATTTTTTTTAGCTTATGGTGTGCGAAGATGCGCAGGGAAATAAATTCATGGTTAAAGCATTCAACAGCAGAGACAATTTTTTGAAATTGGAAGAGGTAACTTCTTCACTTATCTCATTTATCCAATTAGAATGTTTCAATGAATATTTGGAAAAATGCACCCTGTGATTAAGGGTTTAACATCGAAAATTATGTCATAGTTTTAATTTACCTATTTTTATTTTATTTGTTTCAACAGACACTTGTGAGCAAGAGATTTTTAGAAACTGTTGTTGTGGCGAGACAGGAAAGTCTAAAGCGCTATATTTCATCGGAGCTTCAGGACCTGAGACTCCAAATGAAGAAAGGGCAACTGGCCTGTGGAAATGTTGATAAAACAGATACGATTCAAGATGCCTCTAAAGACAAAACAGAGCCCACAAGCAGCTTATTGAACGAGGAAGTGGATACGCCAAACGATGAAAGCGTGGAAAAATTGCTACAGTCATGTGAAGAACATCGCAACCATTTTCAGAATATGTTTGAAGCTCTTATCAAGCTGACTGCCGAGGCTGGGCAACAAAGTGAAGATGATGTTGATTGTGTTCAAAAACTTTTGGACTTTACTACGGAACTCCAGCAAAAAGGAATAACACTTTTCTCCAAAATCGAGTCGGTAGGTACTCAGAGCCAACTCAAGGACCAGCAGCACACACATCGATTTTAGGATTTACACAAATGGAAAACGCAACTTGAGTTGCAAATCAAAGAAGTTGAAAAGCTGCTGTTAGGACTACTTCATCAAAGGACAACAGACAGAAAGCCCAGTTATAAAGGCAGGCTGGTAATTTCTAATAGAGCAACATTTTTTCACTTTAGTATAGGTAAGAATTTGATTTCGAGCGAAATTTGGTGTTGATAATCACGCGTAAATTTTTCAAAGGCAACAAAGGTGCACGAGCCTGTAGCGCAAGTGCAATTTGTAGTCTTTAAAAAATTTACCCGTGCTTATTAACTTCAAATTTCACTCGAAATCATATTAGTACTTGTTGATGATGTACATGATAATACATCACAGAAAGTGAAGACAGACGAAATTTTGAAAGCGAGCGCGCGCTATTTTTAATTTGCACTCGTGTTACAACTTTGCACTGGTATTACATGAGAATGCACTCGTTCGGCCAATCAAAAGCGATATTTTTTCCATGCAGTTTTCAGGTAATTTAATGCAAAAGAGGGTTAATTCTATGCAAAGAAGTAACAATCCAGACTGAACAATTCCTTTAACCGTTCAGCCGGACTTTGAACTTTTCTGCGCCTTAAAGATGTGAAAATATCATTGTACATTATTGTTTTGATCATACGCGGTTGTTTTGACTGAACGCACAATGTCATTTGCAGGGTTTGAATAAATTATTTTTGCATTTGATGCGTGCACTTTGCTCCTGCATAATTATGAGAAGCTATTTCGTATTGTTTCATGTATATTATTCAAGTAATCACATGATTTTTCTCGTGAAATTTGGAAGAAATAAGCATTTGTAAATTTTTTCGAAGACCACAAATTGCACTCGCCCTACGGGCTCGTGCAGTTTTGTTAGTCTTTGAAAAAATTTACTCGTGCTGATTTATTCCAAATTGCATTCGAAATCATGTGATAATGCATACTAATATCGCATGCAAATTGTAATTGAATTGTCAAAAGCTCAATGGAGTAATTTCTTAAAACAATTGTTTAGAGGGGAGAGAGAAACCTGGGTTTTTACGTCCAATTAATGTGATAGATGAAACTTTGTACAACCGACCAAGCTGAGGCCTTGGCAGTCCATAATGGTGGGAAGTCGTATGTTAGTCTACAAGTTCCTAGTTGAATTTTTGTTTCATTGAACTCAAACAAGCAGGCAGAATCTTATCATCAATGATCCTTAAATCTTCTCTCCTTTATTGACTTTTCTGTTTGTGATGTTCTCTCATGTTTACATTTTGTTATTTCTTTTTTCTAAAGCCCTCCCACCAGAAAACTGTGCCAAAACGCCGATCAAATTCTCTGCCAGGATACAGAAGGAAGGTAAGAGAATTTGAGTTAACTCTGAGATTATCAAAGCACAGATCACTTAACTGAATCAAACTGCAGATATAAGCAATCGACTAAGCCACCATCTTGTTTAATTTGAGCAATTATAATGCGTTATATAGATCTTTGTTTGCAATCGGTCAAAGTTGTCATATTGCCTATGTTGACTGTTTTCAGGACAGTAGCTAAATGTTTATATATAGATTTAAATTTTTTTTTGCAGAGTCCCACAGATTATTCAGAGGGTGACCTACCAAAAGAGACGAGAACGAAGGTACGATATAGTCTTTATGATAGAGTTAACACCGTCAAAGCAAGAAAGATAATGAATTCTTACGAAACCAATGACTCTGCATTTTTTTACTTTTTCCTCTTCGTGTTTCAAGAATCCCTTGTCGAGGCTGAGATCGGGAGACAAAAACCCTCCAGCGATGAAGAACATCAAAAAATAGATTCGGGAGCAAGATATAGCACAAAAGAATTCAGACTGACATTGTTTAAAATGAAAAACTTTTAGATATTGAAAGGAGCACACGAACATCTTTAATCTTGTTGATTACTCATTTTATTGCCATTCGATTGTGAGAAGATATTTTGAAGAAATGTTTTTTATTTGAAACTGATATAATGTAAGAAGATAAGAATATCAATAACTGACGGTAGAATGTGACGAATGCTCGTGCATATTGACAAATACTATCATTAGACTTCGGCTATTCGTGGAATGTCTCACCTCTGTGTTAGAATAATTATGACCGTGTGTATAAAGGTTGATCAACTATTGCATTAAAACAGTTAATAGTTTCTGCTTGTTATAACGTGAATGTCCGTCTACTATACCGTTCGTAAATAACAAGAAGGTCCTTGTTAGCCCTGTTATAAGATGAATTAGCCTTTCTGCCATGGTCATAGTTGCCAAGTTGAACATGAACAAAAATTCACTAGCACTCTTTAATCGATCAGCTTCCAGTATTTTCTTTAATTTATTGGAGTGTTTGAGAACTCACAATACATCTAGATAGAACTCTTGTATACTTAGATGGTGATTTTATTTCTTATCTTACTTAGTTATCAATTACATTCATTTTGATTCCATTACGCGTTTCTCCAACTTGCTTTATTAAATAATTATTATCTTCACACTCGAATAAAGTTCATGGACGTACGTGTGAATGCAAATTCAAAGTTTTACGTGCCCGTAAAATGAAAAAGAAATGTTGTTCGTGTTCTCTCCTGATTTCGATTACATATTATTACAACACCTCAGTAACCATCATAATTCTGGTTTTTAAGTCAACAACTTCTTGTTGAAGTTTACATCATTGGCAGAAATAACATCGCGAGAGACTCGGAGATGAAAAAAATTATGAAGTTTGATACGATCTTAGCTAATTTTTACATGTGGAAGTGAGCTGCCGCACTGCAAACAATATTAGCCAGGAACTCATGACCGATCATTACCCTGTATTAGCTCATACAATAAAGATTTTATCATGTCTTTTACGCCACTTCCTTTTTTGTGGTTGTTGATTTTCTTCCTATTTAAGATTTAATTTTTTTGAAGTTGACCAGTTTAAAAAAAAAAAAAGAGCTCTTCGATTTATCATAAATCGGTGCTGAGGCGCTGCCGACCGAGAAGATTGATGGGCTCTGAGAATGAGAATGTTCTAAAACATTAATGAATTTTAAAACTCTGATTCACTTTGTGTGAAGGGTGGAAGATGAAAATCCTGTGTTCTCTTGAATAACTGCTCTCGCGCGAATAGGATCCCTCCCCCGAAGATGCCCTCACCTCCCAGGCCAAAATGTTAATTAAGCGTCCCCCTCACGTAAGCGCCTCTCTCCCCCTTCCTCACTTTCTCAAATTAGTAAGGATACAATCATACTATCGTCGTGCTCTTGATAAATGCCGTAAACTTCCTAGGCACTACGAGACCATTCTATAGCCTTCGAGGACCAGTAGTTTGTACGACTATATAGTTATTGGGATGGTTTTAAAGAAAAAAGTTGATTAGGAATGAAAACTCAATCAGAATATTTGACCAGCAAGCTTTTAATTGTCAGCTCCGTGGACATGGTTAATATTGCAAGTTTCAATGGATTTTTTGTCATACAATTCTTCAAAAAATTGACCAGCTGGAGTTGGTAAGTCCTATAATTTAGTAAGGTCATCATTTGTCTCTTGGTCACAATTAAATTCACCTGATCACACCTGGTGAGTTTTCTATAGTCCCCTTCTTTATACTCTTTTGGCGACCACTTATCCCCTTTCCGATCCCCACTTGATTAAAATTCCTCTGACCCCTACCCTCCCCCCTAACCAATGTGACTTGGTCCCTCATTAATAACAAAATGCGGCATTTATGTTCTAAGTCCGATTTATGTCCAAAGAAAAATGGGTTTTCTGATAATTCAAGTGTCATTATTTGCACCTAATCCTTGATTAAAAGCGGTGTCTTTTTCCATGACTTAGAAAAGAATCTAACACGACACTTATATATGATATTTAGCTTAAGTTTGAAAGGAAAAGCACAGATTTTGTGAGAAGAGTTTATAGACCGCCACTTATAGAATATCCAAAGCCGCCGATTGGCAATAATGCGTCTGAGCCCGCGTCTAAGAAGCTCGCAATCGTCATATTTACAACTGGCATTTCTCTCTTTTCATGGCAAGACGTGGCATTTCAATATTTTGTAAATATCAGATTAACATCCACGAGGGGTGAACCGTAGTAATCTGTGATACTTAACCTGTAGAGCAGTCGTAATTTTCGCGGGTGAGTGCTCAGTATTACATTGGTAAAATTTTAGCTGCCATATTTGATTTTATAGCGGCGCAAGGCTGGGGAGAGAAAAATTTGTACCCAGGGGGTGAGTGACGGATAAATATAAGGAGAGGGGAAGGGGTGGGGCTATGAATACTTCCGCCTTATCCCGCCCCCTCCCCCCGCCGTCGACTCTCCAAATCAAACATGGTACAATCGATTACACGAGCGTTAACTTCATAACGTTAACTCGCTCTAACGAGACGCCTGCCTTGCAGGTTATGCTACACTTTGTCGTATTTACTGGCTTGAAGGTGAATTGCTGTCAATTCTGTCACAATCATCACAAGGATCCGAGTAGCTTCAGTTGTTCAAGTTAACGAGAAGGCACGCTTAGCCAAAAAACTTGAATAATATTTATTCCCTTGTGACAAGATGTGTTTGAAAATATTGTCGAAATGGCCTTCTGGTGAACATCGAAGCTTTGATCAGTTTACAGAGGGAAAGTAAAGTTTTAGTGAGGAAACAGCAGGAGGAGGAAAAAAGAAAAGCAAGTCCTATGGCTTCCGAGGAAACAAAGACGCCGACAATGCTTGCGACAAGCGGAATAGAAGCTAAGAATACAATTGAAATTAAAAGTAAGCTTTCACAATGTTATATGCACGTGGTAAATATATGGCTATTTAGTTTAGTTCAGTCTCGGTAGCTTGTCATAAAACTATACTGTGTTCAGTTTTTGGTTCTGCAAGTGCACGTTGTTCTGTATCGGCAAAGCTTAATAACGTAATCGATCATGTAACAGTAATTTAACTCTCAAATTTTTTTGGGATTCTTCGTGGGTGCTTGTCACTAATCTGCGTTGTTTAATTGTCATATAACCGACATTCTAATTAACCTTAAGGCTCTATATATCTCGTGATGTTAATTTAGTTGTCGATGTGTGATTTGTATGCGAGATTGTTGTATTTCTGCGTTGATAATCTAGAGCGATATTTACAATGTATAAGGTCAAGATATGTTACGCTATCGTGATTTTAGAATGGGAAAGATAAAGGAACAGGAAAGGAGCGGAAAGGTACTGAGTCGAATTGGCTCCGTTTTGATTTTTTTCTTGCAAAGTTTATCATGCCGCTCCTATTTTAATGTCAGGATTGAAACTTTAAACTTATTTGTAAAGAACAAAATCTCGATTAATACTTATTGGCGTCGATGGCACCAAGAATTTTAGCTTGACATCAGACGGTAGGTAAGATCATAGGAATATTGTATCCGGCTCGGATTGTGTTCCAACTTGATTTCAATAAAGAAAAGCTAAACTTACTTTATGTGGGAACCCTTAGATTACTTGCAAAACAGAAATTTTGATGAAATAATCACGTATCAAGTAGACATTTGAGAGTTAGGGATGACGTTTTCGACGAACCATAAACGGGAAACTGAAATTATGCCTATCACTGTACACTATTGGTCGTTATTTTCATAAAGTAAAATTTTGCCTTTAAATTGAACGAAATATTTTTGTTCTTGATTCAAGGATTTTAGGAAATGTGAGTTAACTCAGAGTCTTTTCTAGCGAATGACGTTGTCACATATTCATCTCGTCTGCTTAACAAATAAGGAATTAGTCTTGACTACATGTGCTCTGTGTTGTTGTAAAGCACGCAAAAGCGTCTAGGTATAGAGCACTAAGAAGTGTCGTGGGGAACACGAGACGAAGTCGAATGTTTCTCCCTACTTTTTGCTCCAGCCGCTTCTTAAGTGCTTTACAATCAAGTTCGTCAAATTCCCCTCGCATGACTTCTATTTTCAAAACAAAATCTGAATTTTCGAAGCGAACAAAGGTGTTATACTCTTGTGGTGACCCCCAACATTCCTTAGTTGTTGCGTGACAATCAAGTTCTGGATTATTTTCGAGTTTTTGGGTTACACTTAGGTCTTAGAGGGAGATTTCGCAATTCCCCCTGAGTAAACACGTGCCTTTGAACAAAGAATTATTATTCCAGTGTTGATGTTGTTCACAAATTAAGAAGATTAACTATTTTTGGAGTTCGTCCATTTTGAACACTAGACTCTCATGAAACATGCTTATATAAGCCGATCTGATTGGTTGAATAAGATAAAAGCTGTCAAAACTGTCAAACCAACAAAGTTCAAAATCCTTAATAGTTCACCTATTAAACTAATTCGGCAAGTCGAATTCAACACTTTTGCTTGAAGTTTTTTTTTATTCTTAAACAGAATCTGGAAGTGAAATGTTCTGTGAAATCCGTCGAATTGTGGCTCATAAAACACGCAAGCTTTTTCACTTGACAAATAGAAAACGAACGGCTCAAGGCTTGTGTTTTACGAATGAAAGACAGCCGGATTCACAGATAAAGAAGATTTCTTGGTAACAGCGCCAAAATATCCAAAATAAAAGTCTTACTCCTCATGTGGAAACAGTAAGAAGGGAGCGGTGCAGTGGCAGGGCGTTTAGCAGATGCTTTAGAAAGCATTGAAAAAAAAATTAATTGCAGAAAAGCTGCTTGGTGAGTTGGTATATCTGGTAAGATGAGTGAGTGGCCTGTGTAGATTGCTGCTAAAATGGGTATACAACTGACAAGCTCAAGGCTACTGTGAATTCCTTTTTTTTAAAGCATTAGTGAATCTAAAATCTTCTATTCATCCTAATCTCAACAGACCTGCTGATCAAAGTATATAAACTTTTAAAAATTTAGCACCACTCCGATAGATGATATTTTTAATTTACTCAATATGAAACAGGGAACTAAAATGTTCACGAATGATCCGGAATGTTCTGAGTTTACTGCGTCTCTACCTACCTCCATCCGGAGCAGCCTCGGTACGACCGATATTTAGTAATGGGATTTCCCTTATTATTTATTAATGGATTTTTTTCCCTTATTATCATGTTTTTTTTACATCATGTCTTTTTAAAGATCAGATTAACATCCAGGAGGGGAGAATCTTAGTAATCTTCTACACTTAATTGTATTTACTGGCTTGAAGGTGAAATCTATTAAATCGGTCAACATCAGAAGGATCTAAGTAGCTTCAGTTGTTCAATGCAAGTGAACGAAAAGGCACACATAGTCAAACAATTGAGTAATTTTTATTTCCTTGTGACAAATGTGTCTGAAAATAATGTCGAAAATGCCCTCAAACAGTGATGTTTTGATCAGTTCACAGAGGGAAAGTAAAGTTTAATTGAGGAAACAACAAGAAGAAGAGAAAAGAGAAGCAAGTTCTATGGCCTCCGAAGAAACAAAGACGCCGACATTGCCTGCGACAAGCGAAATAGAAGGTGAGAATGCTATTCAAAATTAGAGGTAAGTTTCTAGAATCGGAAGTAATGACTTTTTGCTGTTTTGTCCGTTTGTCTACTGTGTTTAGTCTCAAATAGTACGTGTCTTTGTTGTGGTGACTGAAAAAGGTTGGAAATACGTTTAGAAATATTCCATGTTGCTGAATTGAAAGGTAAACAAACATTATCACTCTCGAAAGTCTATTGTTAGTTCGAAGCGAAATTTCGAGCCCAAGTGATCGAACAGACGCTTTCCGTCGCGAATTTTCGCTTCGTGGCGAAAATTCAACGAAAAAGCGTCCTTTGTTCAAACGAAATATCGCTTAACAGGCCTCGAGCTCTCTATCGAATTTTCGCTCGAACCTTCCAACGACGACAGGTCGCTAGTACAAATAACGAAATTTGCTGAATTCCATTTGCACTACTTCTGCACAATACTGTAATGAGGTACTAAGTCGAATTGGTTCCATTTATGGTGAGTTTTTTTTGCCGAGTTTTATCATTCTGCTCCTTTTTTAAAGGTCAGGATGGAAGCAGCACTGGTTAGTAACCAATTTGTTGTTCTTTATTTGTAAAGAACAGAATTATTACTGGATACAAAACTGCCAGATGCGATCGAAGCGATGGCCGTAAAAGGGTGACACGGTCATCTACTTCGCAGAGCATTTAGATGCATTTGAACGTCTAAACATAAATGCGAATACCTCCCTGGAAGCCGCTTGGATTGAAGCTATGGTAGAGTCACAGAGACTATTACTTAGTCCTATCTATTGCCCTCCGGATTGTACTTCGTTCCGACAAAAGTTTTCATCTACTATGGATCGCATATTTAACGTTCATACGTCAGCGTGCGAGCAACTCTTACGCATCTTTCGTGCTCTCAAAACTTCCCGCGTGCTTCATATCTCGATGAACACACAGCTGACGTATGAACCAATTGTTTTATAACATTTCAACCCGATTGAAAAATTTTTTTCTGAAGGGATTTGTTTGCTGACGTCGTGAGCGCACACAATAGGAATATGAAGCACGCTTGCGCAATTGAATTTGATTAGGCAAATTTACTAGCTATGTTATAAATATGGATGAAACGGACGAAAATTTCGCGCTGCGTGATTGAGATTTTGTTCCTGATGTGCACAAAGAGGTTCATGCTTATCGTCAATAAACTTAATTAAGCCATTAATTGGACATTTACAGTCCATATCCTAGCTCACCACCGACGCAATCTCACTGCTGTCTCTAAAGTCCCTTGAATCGAGCAATCTTCCGCAGTAACTCTCTCTCGGTATAGCTTTCAGTATAGTCATCGCTCCGACAACAACAACTCCTACTACTGACAACTACATAAGTGAGTCTTTATATATCTTCACAAAGTGTTCTGGAACGCTTATACAAGAACTATTTTAGTAGTAGTAGTACATAATAAATACGTGACTCGATGAAATGTTCTGGAAAGTTCTTTGGTATGCAAGCCAGCATGACTCAGCAGTCCGGAAATTTCTGGGAGATTATATTTACAACAATTACTTATGGCAGAAGGAAAAAGAGAAATAAAAAATATCGGTCCAATTAAAGACAGCTCCGGAGTAATTTATTCAGAAAATACATTAAAGGCCAACGCTCTAAATTCTTTCTTTGTCAATGTCGGAAAATCTCTTTCGAATTCAACACAAGAAAATTCATCAATCCCCTCAAGTCAGCCTACAAGTAATATGAAGGAAATATCCACTCTTACAATTTGCAACATAGCTTTCAAAAACGACCTCTTGAAATATGCCTTCAAATGTATGAAAAATGGCAAGTCAAGTGGCCCGGGTAGTATATCTCGAAATGAGTTGCGCCTAACTGGTGATACATTATTGGACTAGTTCGTGCCTCTCGGGCAAAGAAGTATTTAAATTCCCAAGCCAATGGAAACAAGCACATGTTAAATGTCTTCACAAGAAAGGGAGCACCCTAGACTGTGGTAACTACAAACCTATTTCACTCCTCAATTTTCCAGGCAAGTTGTCAGGAAACGTGATAAGTGAACAACTATGCCAGTTTGATTATATTTTCATCACTCCTGTTTTGTTCTGTTTTGTTTTATACACGAAACTATGTATCCTGTATGCGAGTGTTAGCTGTGTTTGAGTTTTATTACCAGACGTAAGCTTATAATATAACTGAGCGTGAAGACCTTCAAAACTCTGACAATTCGTTTCGTTTTCTCTTAATGATTTTCGTCTCTACTCGCGTAATAGTAATAATGTCAATTACTGTGCTTGGTATGTTTACAAACCTTTGTTACTCTGTTGTTATCTGGCGGTTCCTTGTTCCGAAATTTCACTTCAATTAACAAAAACAAAGCTTGAGAGAAGTCCGAGAAATAGTTGGACATTCTACAAATTGGCAGATGACGTACGTGACACATAACTCAGCACCATGTTTTGTGCTCTGATAGAACGCTCTCTTTCAACCAATGACAGCGCGCGTTATATCCGAACTATAATATAACTGAAGATATGTGAAAAAAAACCCCTGATATAACTAGTATTGATGAAGCTGCTAGAAACCAGAATAATTTAAAATTAAAATCAGCTCCCCAAAAATTAAACGCGATAAAAGAAAAGCCGATATTTAGAATCCTTCAAGTCTGATTTTCTTTGCAAAGGCAATTTAACCAAGTCCTTACCAATCCCTAAAACATCATCACTCAAGTAACCTACCGCTTACGAGTTTGGCTGTTTAGAATTTGGCTGTTTAGAATCAACTGAATTATTAAACGGAAGCTTAAGCCCACCATCTTATTACTGTCCTATGAGAACCTGGTTAGTTTTCTACTCCAGGGCAAAAAGATAACATTTTTTGGACTATGATACCTCACGCAATCCAATATTTAAACTGCATGCAACTAAAACATTAATGTAGCTAAGAATGCAATATCTCTAAATACATACAGGAGACTTTAACGACCCAAGGACCTCTGTGGTGACAGAACTGCTGCTTTCAGACATAAGTGATGACGTAGGTACTTGCTGGCGTGAGCTTGGACCAAAGCTTGATATCCCTGCAGCAAAGATCCAAAATCTGGACAACGATTATCGCTGTAGTCGCGACAAAGCAAACGCCTTACTCCTCATGTGGAAACAGAAAGAAGGGAGCAGTGCAGTGGCAGGGCGTTTAGCGGATGCTTTAGAAAGCATTGGGAAAAAATGCATAGCAGAAAAGCTTCTTGGTGAGTAGGTGTACCTGGTAAGATAAGTGAGTGGCCTGTGAAGATTGCTACTAAAATGTATATACAACTGACAAACCGGATAGATAACTATACGACGAAGTCTTATACCCCATTCACACCAAAGCTTAGACATTTTTTTAGGTTGTTTTGTTAAAGACAGGTTAATTTTTTTCTACTTCATAGAAACTACTGAACCTGATTTTTTTTATTTAAAATGTAGTACATTGAAAATGCAAGTTAGCAAGTACTTGAATCTGTTTATGGTTGTCATTCAGTAAAAACCAGTTGAACAAAATATGTTTTGCTGGTGTAAATAGAGTATTAGAAAACAGTTGACAACAACTCAAAACAGTTGTTCACATCATCTGTGATCTATTACTGAACAGTCGCACGGCAACTTGGAATCTATTTGTTACATAGCTAATATCTTTAACTCATCCTCATCTAAACACACCTAATGATTAATTTGAGCGCGCTTATACTATTTCAGGGATTTTGAAATTCTTAATAGAGTTGATTTTGGCCAGCTTTGTTGTCTAATGGGCCCGGGAAACTTGCCCCACCCCTTCAACCGATGGAATTCAAGATTAAGATCAAAGGTGACAAGTAGGCCCACGCTTCAAATATTTTGCTTCTTTATGCTTTGTACTCCCTCTGGCTCCTGACCAGTGATATTTGGCTTTATTCTAATTGACATTTAGCAAAACTATGGGTTTGGTTTTACGAAAACCGTGAATTGTCTAGCTATCCTATTATAAGGGTTGCTAAGTTAAGAAATTGCTTTATTGGAAGGAATAGGAATCTTTCCCTGGCTGCAGATATTCTAAATGGTTACATTAGTTTATTGGTGTAATTTGTTCCGGGGTGCTGCCCTTGGGTGGATAATGAAGCTTCAAACTGATCGATGAATAACTCTTAACTTAAAACACTTTCCTTTCAACATATGTTCTATTATTTAGGAGTGGATGATGCGAAAATGCTGAGGTGTGGAAGCATTCCTAAGGGCCATGTTATCAGTTTAACAGTTATCCATAACTTGGGTGAAGGGCTTGATAAGGTTAGTAATTAACAACACGTTTTCTACAATAAGCACTGAAAGATGTAATTTTCACAAAAACAATATTCATAATTTGTTCCAACAAAGTTATGTTTCATTTCCAAGCTATTGACTGGTACGTGTGCCCTCGACCTCTCCAGAGCTAATCACTTCAATTGTTCTAATGATTGGGACTCGTGAACGAAAGGATGAAATTTACATCAGCCGTAGACCAGAAATACCACTTAGGTGGATTTCCACCATTCTCTGAACATAGCTTCATCATCAACCACTCTTTACAAGAAAAATGACAAAATTATGTTGGTTTAGCAAATATTTTTCGTAAAATAAGTTAAAATATGCTTGCATACAACTATTTGTCATTTTTTTTAGCTTATGGTGTGCGAAGATGCACAAGGAAATAAATTCATGGTTAAAGCATTCAACAGCAGTGACAATTTTTTGAAATTGGAAGAGGTAACTTATTTACTTATCCCATTTATCCAATTAGAATGTTTCAATAAAATTTGGAAAAATGCACCCGTAATTCAAGGCCCTGTACGTCTTCGAAAATTATTTAATAGTTTTTGTTCAGTTATTTCACCCGGTTGTATTTCATTTGCTTTAACAGACACTTGTAAGCAAGAGATTTTTAGAAACTGTTGTTGTGGCAAGACAGGAAAGCTTAAAGCGTTATATTTCATCAGAGCTTCAAGACCTGAGGCTCCAAATGAAGAAAGGGCAACTGGCCAATGGAAATTTTGATAAAACAGATGGGAGTCAAGATGCTTCCAAAGACAAAAAAGAGCCAACAAGCAGTTTATTAAATGAAGAAGTGGATCCACCTAACGATGAAAGCGTGGAAAAACTGCTACAGTCATGTGAAGAACATCGCAACATTTTCCAGAGAAGGTTTGAAGCTGTTATCAAGCTGACGGCCGAGGTTGCACAACAAAGCGAAGATAATGTAAACTGTATTTCTCAACTTTTGGAGTTTACTATGGAACTCCAGCAAGAAGAAATAAAACTTTTCTCCAAAATCGATTTGGTGCGTACTCAGAGCCAACTTTCGGACGAGCGGCATAAGGATCGAGCTGAAGAATTACACAAATGGAAAACGCAACATGAGGTGCAAATTAAGGAAGTTGAAAAGCTGCTGTCAGGACTACTCCATCAAAGTACAACAGAGGGAAAGCCAAATTATAAAGGAAGGCTGGTAATTTCTAATAGACTAACATTTTTTCAATTTAATTACTTAATATTACATGCAAATTGTATGTGAATTGTTAGAAGCTCATTGAAGGAGTGAAACATGAAAACATGAAACATTTGATTTATATCGAGGGAGAGATAAACCCAATCAACATGATAGATGAAACTTTGTACGACCGACTTATCAGAGGCCTTGATAGTCCATATTTGTCGGTAGTCTTATGTCAGTCAACAAGTTCCTAATTGCATTCTGCCTCAGGTTTTTGTTTCAATGAACTCAAACAAGCTGGCAGAATCTTATCATCGATGACCCTATAAATCTTCTCCCCTTATTGGTTTTTTCTGTTTGTGATTTTTTCGCATTGTTACATTTGTTGTCTCGTTTTTGTAAAGTTCTCTCACCAGAAATCTGTGCCAGAACACGGCTCAAAATCTCTTTCAGGATTCGGAGAGAAGGTGAGGGAATTTGAGTTGAATCTGAAATTATCAAAACACAGATCACCGGACTCAATCAAACTGCAGATAAGTAACTGACTAAGCCACTATCATGGTGAATATGACTCATTATAATTATAACGCGCTCAAAATATCTTTGTTCTCATTCGGTCATTCATATTACCTTTGTCGCCTGTTTTCAGGACAATAGCTAAATGTTTATGTTTATATCTAATTCTATCTATTTTTGTAGAGTTTCAGACATCATTCAGAAGGTGACCTATCAAAAGAGATCAGAATGAAGGTATAATGTAATCGTTATTAAAATACCACCATCAAACTAAGAACGTAAGAAAAAGTTGAAAATGTTTGGCTGTCTTCTCCGCAAGAAGAAAAGGACGAACAGAACTTTTTTAAGACTCAGCAACGCAAATTTGGCCAGCGCTGGGACGAAGATTGACTTTAACATGAACGTGAATCATTAATTATTATCATTAGGGATCAAAGATGAAATGCGGGACGTTCAGCTCTGGAAGGCCACCCTAATTCATAAAAAGCTGTACCTTAACATGACAATTGTACTATTATTATCATTATTATCATTTTATTATTATTACTTTAAATTATTTTTAATGTATTCTTATAGCCTTTTTTCTCTTTATGTTTCAAGAATCCCTTGTCGTGGCTGAGATCGGTGGATAAATAACCTTGCGTCCTTTTCTAAATCTCAAAACCATCCAGCGATGAAGAATATCAAACCAAATTCGGAAGCAGGAGACGATACAAAAGAACTCATAGACTGACATTGTTTACTATTAAAAAAATCGATCAGAATGATCTCTTTTTAACGAAGCCCTCTGCAAAGATATTGAAAGGAGCACACGAACAACCTCATTTTCGTTTATCACTCATTTTATTGTCATATTTAGTAGAACATGTGTTAATTTGAAAAATATAATGTAAAAAAATATGAATCTCAATCACTGACGGTAGAAAGTTCTTGTTCGCCTTGATATAAAGGTGAATTAATCTCTCTGCCAAAGTTATAATTGCCAAGTTGAAGATGAACAAAAATTCGTAAGCATACGACAAAATTTTTCGTGCCGTTGAGATGAAATAAAAAAAAATTATTGTTGTGTTCTCACCTGATTTGGCTTACATATTTTTACAACATCTCAATAACCCACAAATATCTGATTTTTAAAAAAAAAATCGTCGATGTTTACGCCATCGCCAGGATAACATCGAGAGAGACTCGTAGACGAAAAAAAAAAGAGTTTAATCTTTCCAGGAGCGATCTAAGCTACTAGTTACATATGGAACTTAGCTGCCGCTCTACAAACAATATTAGCTCACACAATGAAGATTTTATTATGTCTTTGACGCCGCTTCAATTTTTGGTTGTTGATTTGTTTTATTAGTTAGATTTCATTTTTCTGACCTTGACCAATTTGAGAAAAAAAGGACAATTTTGTGTGTGTCAAGAGCCCTTCGATTTATCTTAAAACGATGAGGCGCTGCTGGCCGAGAAAACTGATGAGCTTCGGGTACGAGAATGTCTTAAATAGATAACTGAATCCAAATTTTTTTCTAGGTGAAGGGTTAGATATTTATAAAGTGAGTAATATGCAAATAACATTGTTTACATGAAACAGACTAGGATGCTCTATACACCAATTAACATATTTTGATATAATTATTATTACCATCATCATGATGGTTTCCTGAGCAAGTACGAAAGGTTATCTTAGTGTTCCTATGAATGCAAAATATCGCTATGCTATATGATTGCTCCTTAATATAATTGCAATCAGTTGAAATAAATAAACATTGAATTGAATATAAATTTACATTGCATTTGTACATGCCAAAAGGGCAATTTAAAAAATACTATATGGTGATTGGCTACTTGAGATTAGTCATGGTCTAACGGAATTCTCAGTGTGAAGAAGCCTTTTCTGGTTAGAATCTTGATGTCTACTATTTTCAGAGTTGGATCTGTTTCAACTCATGCAGATAATATCTTAATGACATAAAACTACCTTGCTCTTTGTTTTGAAAGGATCGGATAGAAAGCTTCACAAAGGAGGAAAGTTATAGTAACATGTTGCGTGTTGGATGCTTTCAACTTGAGGTTGAATATTTTTAACTCCGTAAAACATCACGGAGATTCAAGCGAATTTGACGTGGTTTGTGGTGGTTGTTTACAAAAGGAACGGGGAGACAAACGAGGCTCCTAAAGAAGTATGCGTTTACATTCGGTCGGAAGAGACTGGACCGACAACGAGCTTGGTCATGTCCCCGAACCTGACGGAGCGTCACCCTTGAACAATGGCACTGACTCACGGAAGGACGGCAGAACTTCGTTTCAGAGACAGAAAACGGGAGCCCATGACGGAGAGAATGGATTCTTGAACATGAAGGAAACAACGCTAAATGAGCGTGAATCTGAGCAATGTGATGAAATGAGCAGTAAGTATTACAATAATAAATATGTAGTTGTACGTGCTTATGATAATCAAAACATGTCGCGATAGCAATGAGTACTTTTATGCATATTCCTGCTCAATACCGAACCGTAATTTCAACTCCTAACAATTAAAATTACTCACTTCACATTTTCCGAGTCGAACGACTCGCTATTTCTGCAAGATGAACACTTTTGGAACTTTTTGAAATCTAGCACTCGCCAATTATTTGAACTGTTTACGGTAAACTATGTAATAAGTCCTATGATGCTAATTTCTCGATAGTTTTGTCCATATTTCGGGTAAAGTGCAACCCTTTCGGTATCTTAGGACGTATGCTGAATTGGTTAATATTTTGAAATCTCCAGTGTTGTCTTTATTCATCAATAATAATAATTTATAGATTTATTTTGCGCAATTATCAATTCAAAGAATTTTCAATTGCTCATTAAAATTAAATGTTAAAAATTCAACCCTACATAGATACTAAAAACTAAAAAAAAAAATAGAAAATAAAAAATAAAACAAATTAAAAAACATAAAAATGTTCGCTAAGAAGATGTAAAAATATAAAATTAGATACAAAGAATTAAAAAAGCTTTTGCAAATAAAAAGTCCTAATGGCCTTAAACCTGTCTAAAGATTGGGTGTTTCTGATAGCCCAAGAAGAAGAGCCCGGAAGATCGTTCCACGGTTTAGGGGCGGCCGCATGGAAAGATCGATCGCCGAGCGTGGTAAGTGTTTTACCCTTGCAAGGAGCCAGGAGTAAGCCGTCATTTGAACGTAAATCATATCTTCCGGTGTCTCTAACGGAAATCAGCTCCCTTGTGTAGGCCGGGGCAAGACCATGTATTTCTTTAAAATTAATTAGGATAATTTTAAAAACTATGTGATATTTTTTACAAGTAGCCAGTGTAGTGACTTGAGCAGAGGTGTGATATGACAAAATCTGCCCTCCTGGAATATGAGGCGTGCAGCTGCATTCTGGACTCTCTGTAATTTGAAAAGATGGCACTCAGGAACTCCAAATAGGAGGCTGTTACAATAGTCCAAGCGGCTAGATATAAAGGCATGAATAAGTGTCTCCGTGCATTCTTTTGTTAAATATTTTCTAATTCTTCTAATGTTATAAAGATAGTAAAACGCTGCAGAGCAAGTCTTGGTGATATGATCAACCATAGATAGGTTTGAGTCAAACCAGACTCCAAGGTTTTTAACAGGAGAGTGCGGAGCTATATTTACTTTGCCAACTTTAATGTGTCCAATATTAACTTTGGCGAGTTGCTGCTTCGTGCCAACTAAAAGAAGCTCAGTTTTTTCCTCGTTCAACAATAGTTTATTCTCACGCATCTAAAAACCTGATCGCCTTGATACAACACTCAAGAGCAGTAATGGCATCCAAGTGACCTGTCTCATCTGCGGGGTGGAAAGAGACGTAAAGTTGGGTATCGTCTGCATAACAATGGCAGATGGAAGATATTTTTCGACGACGTCTAGTAACGAGCTCGTATAGATGGTAAACAAGAGCGGTCCTAAACAGGAGCCTTGGGGTACTCCATAGTTCAAATCAAACCTCTTCGACAGACACCCACGAACTAATATCCTCTGACTGCGCCCTGATAAATACGATCGGAACCACTTGGACACCCTGCCCCTAAGTCCCAGCGTATTGAGTGCCTCCAGCAAGATATTATGCTGGACTGTATCGAAAGCAGCACTATGATCAAGTAGCACTAGAAGGGTTATATGTTGTTTATTCATATTGAGCAGGATGTCATTCTTCACTTTCAGAAGAGCAGTTTCAGTGCTATGATGCACGCTGTAAGCTAATTGAGCGTTCGGGTATAGCCTGTGGTTATATTGTGAGTAAACCGACAAGTTTTCACGTTGTTATTTCCCTAGCCACTTTATCATGAATATTCCTCTGTTAATGGCATGAATTATGAATAGAGCGCTGTTTTTACCTTGAAATATTTCGCGAATGCTTTGTGAATAATTACGAGCACAGTTGACAACTTGCGTTCTCCTAACGATCTCAAATGCGATTAGCGATGAAGAACATCAAACTAGAGATTCGGGTGCGGGAGACAACACAGAAGAACTCAGAGAATAAAATAGTTTACAGTAAAAAAGTTGATTAGAATAACCTCTTTTCGAAGACGCTCTCTGCGAGAGGCAAATTTAAAATTGCCTTTCTGAAGTGTATTTTCTTTGGATCATAAGAGTGTTCGAGGATTCACGATACCTGGAGATAGAAGTCTTGCCTAATAAGATGGCGAAGTGCTATTTTTCGATTATAAATTTCATTTTAATTCTATTACAAGTGTCTCCAAGTAGCTCTATCAGCGAAAAACTCTCTTTACTTTTGGATGAAAATTCAAATGTTTATGTGTGCGTATGAACTTGAAATTTTTTCGTCTCCTTGAAATGAAAAAAAAGGGGTTGTTCGGATTCTCACCTGATTTCGATTTCAATTGACAGCACCTCGATAATTACCATGAGTCTGATTTTTGTAACAATAACCGCTTGTTGAACTCTACGTCATGATTACCAGAGCTAGAATCGAGAGACTCGGAGACGAAAAAAACTTGCGAGTTTAATCTTTCGAGGTGCGAGTTAATTTTTACTCGTACAAATTGAAAAATTTGGGAAAAAAAGGGCTAATTTTGAGCGTGTCTAGAGCTCTTCTTTTTATTTTTTAAATCGGTGCTGAGCTGCTGGCAGCCGAGAAAACTGACGGGCTCTGGGAACGAGAATGTTCTTAATACATAAATGGATGAAATTTTTTTTTTTTACGTTAAGGGTTGAAGATTTCTTAAGAAGGTAATATCCAATTCCATTGTTTAAATGAAAAAGATAAACATCCTTTATGCACCAATTAACATATTTTGATGTAATTATGAGACTGGACTGACAACGAGCTTGGTCATGTTGCGACATGATGTCTCCTGGTCTCAGTAAAATTAACCTGACCCCACCCTGGTAGTATTCTAATGATCCCCTTCATTGACAAATGTTTTCCATGGTCCCCTTTTGCAATCTGTTAGCGCAACTGATTCCCCCTCCCTTCCCCTCTCGATGAAAAGTATATGATCTCTCTCAAAATTCTTCGACTTTCCCCCCCTCCCCCCAAGGAAATATTAATTTCCTTGTGACAAGATGTGGTTGGAAATCGAAATGCCCTGCATCCATCCGGAGCAGCCTCGGTATGATGATTTGTGGTGGTTTTTTTCCCTTTTCATCACATCATGTTTGTTAATCATTAGATTAATTCATCCATGAGGAGAGAAATGTAGTAATCTGCTACACTTTGTTGTACTTGCTGGCTTGAAGGTGAAAGCTGTCAGTTCTGTCAATATCACAAGGATTTGAGTAGCTTCAGTGGTGGAAGTGGACGAGAAGGAACACATAGGCAAACAATTGAGTAATATTAATTTCCTTGTGGCAAGATGTGGTTAAATATATTGTCGAAAATGCCCTCAGGTTAACATCGAAGTTTTTATCAGTTCACAGAGGGAAGTAAAGTTTTATTGAGGAAACAACAAGAAGAAGAGAGAAGAGAAGCAAGTCCTATGGCTTCCGAGGCAACAAAGACGCCGGCATTGCCTGCGACAAGCGAAATAGAAGCTGAGAATGCTACTGAAATTAGAAGTAAGCTTTCATAATATAAAATGTATGTACGTGGTTTAGGTATGGCTATTTAGTTTAGTTCAGTCTCGGTAGTTTGTCACAATACTACTTGTGTTCAGTTTCTAAGTATTATCCTTTGGTTCTGCAGGTGCACGTTTTTCTGTATCGGCAAAGCTTAATCAATCACATAACAGTAATTTAACTATCAAATCTTTCTGGGAGTCTTCGTGGGCGCTTGTCATCGATCTTAAAGTGGTTAATCTGTGTTTTTTAATTGTCGTATAACTGGTCTTTTATTTAACCTTAAAGCTCTATATATTTCATGATGTTAGTTTAGTTGTCGATGTGTGATTTGGATGCGAGATTGTTGCATTTCCGCGTTGATAAACTAGAGTAATATTTACAATGTATAAGGTTAACATATGTTCCGCTATAGTGATTTTAGAGACTAACATGACTGGGCAGGTACTAACTCGAACTGGCTCCATTTACAATGAGTTTTTTTTTTCTCAAGTTTATCACGCTGCTCCTTTTCAGTCAGGTCAGGATGGAAGCAGCATTGTTTGTATAGTTAATCACATGATTTCGAGTGCAATTTGGAATAAATAAGGACGAGTAAATTTTTTTAAAGACTAACAAAATTGCAGGAGCCCGTAGACTGACATATCCATTATGTTTGCTGAGTATTGTGTTATGCTTCAGTGGTTGACTATGGCACTTGTAAGATCTTGTTATAAATATAACCAAGGAGATGCGTGACGTTTGAAAGAGTTTAGCAATATTGAAATAACAATTGAAGATATGTGAATTAAATTTCGGATATAACTAATATTGATGAAGCCGCTGGAGACCAGAAATATCCAAAATCAAAATCAACTCCCAAAAAACAAAGTCGACTAAAGTACAGCCGAGAATGAATAACTTAGAGTTATTTATTACCAAAATTAATTTAGAAATTTATGAAAACTGCGTAGAATTTATATAGAGATCATATACTGCTGTTTAAAATTCACTATGCTATACAGAAGCTTAACCCCTCTACGTTATTATTGTACAATTAACACCAGGTAAGTTTTTTACTCCAAGGCAAGAAGAAAACCTCATTAAATTTGGACTAAGATGCCTCACGTAGTCCAATGTTAAAAACTACATCCAATTGAAACGTTGATTTAGCTAAGAATCTAATATCCTTTTGTGCACACAACGACCCAGGGATCTCTGTGGTAACAGAACGGCAACTTTCAGACATAAGTGATGACGTAGGTACTTGCTGGCGTGAGCTGGGACCAAAGCTTGATATCCCTGCAGCAAAGATCCAAAACCTGGATAACGATTATTGCTGTAGTCGCGACAAAGCAAACGCCTTACTCCTCTTGTGGAAACAGAAAGAAGGGAGAAATGCATTGGTAGGGTGTCTGGCGGATGCTTTAGTAACCATTGGGAAAAAATGCATTGCAGAAAAGCTTCTTGGTAAGTAGGTATACCTGGTAAGATGAGTGAGTGGTCTGTGAAGATTGCTGCCAAAATGCATTTACAACCGAAAAGCCGGATGAATAACTACACGATGAAGTCTTGGAAACAGTGGACATTGTCACAATATTTCGCAATCGACTTCGATTTCCGTAGTTTCCCTGTCTGATCTTAACATAAAGGCGGAATGTGATAGTTCTGCCGATACCCTCCCCCCTTGAGCGTTTGGAGAAGGCTGTTGTGAACATATGTTTTTATAGCACGCGTGGATCGAAAGTCTTTTACTCGTCCTTATCTCAACACACCTACTGATTAATAAGAGCGCGATTACTATTTCGGGGATTTTGCAGTTCTTGATAGAGCAATTGACAACTTGGTGTTGAAAGTGATTCTGGATTGTAATGATTTTGACGACCTTTACCAAGAAACTCGCACCACTCAAGACTAAAATCAAACGGGACTTGTAGACCCGTGCTTTAAGTATTTTGCGTGTTTATGCTTTGTGCTCTCATTGGCTCCTGACCACTGATATTTGCCTTTGTTCTAATTGGCAGTTGGTACAACTCTGGGTGTGGTTTTACGAGACTCAATCTTAAAAGCGCTCTATAAATTTTCCAGCGACCCTATCATCCGGATTGTGTGTAATCATGATTGTTGAAAATTGGTTGTTTAAAGAAAAGGGTTGCTAAGTTAAGTAATTGCTCTCTTGCAAGGAATAAAAATCTTTCCCTAACTACGGATATTCTAAATGGTGACATTAGTGACATTAGTTTATTGGTATCGTTTGTTCTGGGGCTGCTGAGGGGGAGGGGGGGGGGGGTGATGAAGCTTCGAACTGATCGAGTTTAACCTATAATAAGTTCATCTCAACATATATGTTACTGTTTAGGACTGGATGGTCCGGAGGGCAATGTTATCAGGTTAATAGTTATTCATAGCTTGGGTGAAGGGCTTGATGAGGTAAGTAATTAACAACACGTTTTCTACAATAAGCTTCGAAATACGTAATTTTCACAAAAACAGTACGCATAATTCGTTACAAAAAAGTTATATTTCATTTCCAAGCTATTGACTGGTACGTGTGCCCTTGATTTCTCCATAGCTAATCGCTTCAATTGTTCTACTGTTTAGGACTCGTGATTTTCTGGACTTAGCTTTACTATCAACCACTCTTTACAAGTAAAGTAAAAAAAATTGTGTTGGTTTAGCAAACATTTTTCTTAAAATAAGTTTCGTAAATAAGTTCAAATTTGTTTCCAAAAAACTATTTGTCCTTTTTTTTTAGCTTTTGATGTGCGAAGATGCTCAGGGAAATAAGTACACGGTGAAGGCATTCAACAGCAGTGACAATTTTTTGAAATTTGAAGAGGTAACTTCTTCACCTATCCCATTTATCCAAATAGAATGTTCGAATGAGTATTTAGAAAAACGCACCCTGTGATTCAGGGTACATCTTCGAAAATTATTTAGTAGTTTTAATTCAGTTTTTTCACCCAGTTGTATTTCATTTGTTTTAAAAGACACTTTTGAGCAAGAGATTTTAGAAACTATTTTTGCGGCGAGACAGGAAAGTCTAACGCGTTACATTGCATCAAAGCTTCAGGTGGATCCACCAAGCGATGAAAGCGTGGAAAAATTGCTACAGTCATGTGAAGAACATCGCAACTTTTTCCAGAGAATGTTTGACGTTCTTATCAAGCTGACTGCCGAGGTGGGGCAACAGAGTAAAGATAATTTAAATTTCATTCAACTACTTTCGGACTTTACCATGGGACTCCAGCAGGAAACAATAACACTTTTCTCCAAGATCGAGTCGGTACCTACTCAGAGCCAACTTTCGGACAAGCGGCACGTGGATCGAGCTAAAGAATTACACAAATGGAAAAGGCATCATGAAGCGAAATTCAAGGGATTTGAAAAGCTGATGTCAGAACTACATCAAAAGACAACAGGGGGAGAGCCGAATAATAGAGGAAGGCTGGTAATTGCTAATAGACTAACATTTTTTTACTTTAATTACTTAATATCTCATGCAAATTGTATTTAAATTGTTAAAAGCTCAGTGGGGGTATTTCATGAAACAATGATTTAGATCGAGGGAGAGATAAACCCAGGTTTTGACGTCCAAATAACATTATATATAAAACTTTGTGCGACCGACCAAACAGGGGCCTTGGTAGTCCATAATTATTGGAAGTCTTATGTCAGTCTTCAAGTTTCTAATTAAATTCTGCCTCAGGATTTTTTTTAATGAGCTCAAACGAGCGGGAAGAATCTTATCATCAATGATTTTATAAATGTTCTCCTCTTTCTTGACTATTTCTGTTTGTCATGTTCTCTCCTACATTTTTTTGTCTCTTTTTTGTAACGTTCTCTCATCAGAACTCTGTGCCAGAACGCAGCTCAAGATCTCTGTCAGGACTCGGAGAGATGGTAAAGAAATTTTAGTTTAATCTGAGATTATCAAAACACAGATCACTGGACTGAATCAAACTGCAGATAAGTAACTGACTAGGCCACAATCATGGTAAATATGACCTGTTATAATTACAATAAGCTCAACATATCTTAGATCTAATTCGCTCATTCATATTACCTTTGTCGACTGTTCTCAGGAAAGTAGCTAAATGTTTATGTTTAGATTTAATTCTATCTTTTTTTTTGCAGAGTTCCAGACGTTATTCAGAAAGTGACAAATCAAAAAGATCAAAATGAAGGTATGATGTAATCGTTATTAAAATACCACCATCAAACTAAGAACCTAAGAAAAAGTTGGAAATGTTTGGCTGTCTTCTCCGCTGGAAGAGAAGCACGAACAGAACTTTTCTATGACCCAACAACGCAAAATTGGCCAGCGCTGGGACGAAAATTGATTTTAACATGAACACGAATAATTTATTACAAATATTAAAGATCAAAAATGAAATGCGGGACATTCAGCTCTGGGAGGCCACCCTTCGTACTTAAAAATAATCCACACAAAGCTCTACCTTAACATGACAACATTATTATTATTATTATTACTATTATTATTATTATTATTATTATTATTATATTTTAAATGTATTCTTATGGCCTTATACACTTCTTCCTTTCTTTATTGTGTCTGGTCTTACTTTTTTATTATTTTTTCCTGGTTGCACTGTGATAATATTATCTTCTCCAGAAAAAACAATGCTATCGACACTAATTACAATGCAGTTTTCTTTCTTTTTGCTCCTCATGTTTCAAGAATCCCTTTTCGAGGCTGGGATCGGAAGACAAATAACTTTGCATCCTCTTCTCATCTCAAAACCATCCAGCGAATTTCAACTGTTCAACTTTATTTGCACTATTCAGATGAATTAATGTTACAAATACAGCATACCGAGGCTCCGAGTCAGCGATGAAGAATACAAAACCAAATTCGGGAGCAGGAGTCAACACCAAAGAACTCATGAGCTGACATTGCTAACAACGGAAAATCGATTAGAATAACCTCTGTTTTAGGAAGCCCTCTGCAAAGATATTGAAAGGAGCACACTGACAACCTCATTTTTGATCATCGTTCATTTTATTGTCATATTTAGTAGACCATCTGTTTATTTGAAAAATATAATGTAAGAAAATATGAATCTCAATTACTGACGGTAGAAAGTTCTTGTTCGCCTTGATATGAAGGTGAATTAGCCTCTCTGCCAAAGTTATAATTGCCAGGTTGAAGATGAATAAAAATTCGTAAGCATATGACAAACTATTTAGGTAATCAGCTTTAGTATTTTCTTTAGATTATGGGACGGTTTGAGGATTCACGATACATTAGGAGAGAACTCTTGTATACTTGGATGGTGTTTTTTTTCTTTTCTTTATTGATTATCGATTATAATTACATAAAATACATCACAAGTTTATTAGCTTTTTAGTGAAATACCATCTTCTCACTCGAATAAAGTTCATGTACGTATGTGTGCGTATGAATTAAAAATTTTTCATGCCCTGGAGATGAAATGAAAAATTACTGTTGTGTTCTAAACTTGATTTCGCTTACATATTTTTATAACACCTCAATAACCAACAAATATCTGATTTAAAAAAAAAACTTTCCGTCGATGTTTACGCCATCACCCAGAAGAACATCGAGAGAGACTCGTAGACGAAAAAAAATTACGAGTTTTATCTTTCCAGGAGTGATCTTAGCTAATTTTTACATGTAGAAGTTAGCTGCCGCTCCACAGACAATATTAGCTCATACAATGAAGATTTTATGTCTTTTACGCCACTTCCGTTTTTTGGTTGTTGATTTGCTTTCTTAGTACGATTTCATTTTTCTGAACTTGACCAAAATTGAAAAAAAAGGATTATTTTGTGCGTGTGTAGAGCCCTTCGATTTATCTGAAAACGGTGCCGAGGCGCCAATGGCCGAGAAAACTGATGGGCTTCGGGAACGAAAATGTTTTAAATACATAATTTTATTCAAATTTTTTTTTCTAAGTGAAAGGGTTGAAGATTTATAAAGTGGCTAATATGCAATTAACATCGTTTACACGATTAGGGTGCTCTATACACCAATTAACATATTTTGATATAATTATCCTTACCATCATGGTTTCCTGAACAATTACGAAAGGGTTTCTTGGTGTTCCTGTGCATACAAAATTCCGTTATGTTATGTGATGTTTGCTCCTTAATATAATTGCAATTAGTTAAAATAACATTAAATTGAAAATAAATTGACATTGCATTTATACAAGCCAGAAGGGCAATTTAAAAAATACTAGTTGTGATTGGTCAATTAGGATTAGTTATGGTCTAACGGAATATCTCAGTGTGATATATTAATAACATGTTGTGTGTTGGATGCTTTCAACTTGAGGTTGAATACCTTTAACTCCGTAAGACATCACGAACATTCAAGCGAATCTGATGTGGTTTACGGTGGTTTACAAAAATAACGGGGAGACAAACGAAGCACCCAAGGAAGTATGCGTTTACACTCGGTCGGAAGAGGCTGCTCAAATAGTTGAAACAACTTGTACAATCAGCACCGACGACGTGCCCGAACCTGACGGAGCGACACCCTTAAACAATGGCACTGACTCACGGGAGGACGGCAGAACTTCGCTTCAGAGACAGAAAACGGGAGCCCATGACGGGGAGAATGAATCCTTGGACATGAAGAAAACAAAGCTGAATGAACGTGAATCGGAGCGATGTGTTGAAATGAGAGGTAATTAGTATCACAATACAAGTAAAAATACGTAGTTGGTCGTGCTTATAATAATCAAAACATGTCGCAAGAGCAATGAGGCTTTTATGTATATTCCTGCCTAATACCAAACCGTAATTTCAACCCCCTGACAATTGCAATTACTCACTAAATATTTTGCGAGTCAAACAACTCGCTTTTTTCGCACTATGAACACTTTTGGAACTTTTTGAAATCTCCTTGTTTATTGTTTAAGTCTGTTATCAGTTTGATGACTCATTAAATAACTAGCAGTCGTCAATTATTTAAACTGTTTGGAAGCCAGCCTTTTAATTTACGGTAAACTGAGCACTAAGTCTTATGATACTAATTTCTTGATAGGTTTGTCCATATTTTGGGTAAAGTGCAACCCTTTCAGTATTTTGAGTATATCTTAGGACGTATGTCAATTCGGTTAATATTTTGAAATCTCCTGTGTGTCATCTTTATTCATCAGCTCGAGGTTATATTGTGAGTAAACCGACAATGTTTGAACGTTAAGTTGTTTCCTTAGCGACTTTATCATGAATATTCCTCTGTTAATGGTATGAAGTATGAATATAGCGCTGTTTTTACCTTGAAATATTTCCCAAATGCTTTGTGAATAATTAATAGAACAGTCGAATGAGGTAAAAAATATCTGAAGCATGAACTTGAAAGATGTTGCAATTTACGTGGGATCAAGTTTCTAAGCCCCAGTCAAATAAGAGGATCGAGATAAGATTGGAATTCTTGTTCTCATGCTCTTTCCTCGTAATTTATTCTACACCTGCTTAATCCAATCTCAATCTCAAATGAGAGCTTTATAATTTCTGCTAGACCCATCGCGCTAAACATTCTTTAAATTTATTTGATATCATCATTGATTTCTATAAAATTTGACTGTTGCGTTGACAGTTAAGTTGTTCTTAAGTTAAGTTTTCCTAACACAAGTGGAAGCTGATGGGTTACACTAGATCCTTATGTAGCGACAGGAAATGCAAACGAAACATTCATTCAGTCTTTCAAATGAAAAGGGAAGAGGAAAGCGAGACATTTAAGAATAAAAATTCTTGCAATTTAGCATTTTAACGCTCCAGAGCACACATAAAAATGGGCTGGTCAGCCTATTGATCTACTTTCTTCGGCGTGGACAGATCCCGTTCTTCACCAATACCTTTCGAACGCCTTACCAACTGGCTCTTGAAAAAAGTTCCAGAGTTTTAACTCAGATCTGGTCGCTCCTTATTGCAAAGAAAAAAGAAAAATTCGAAATAGCAAATGGATAATGATATGCAGGTATATATCTAGATACATGCTGTGTTCAAAGGCTTAATATGAAATCAGAAAAAGCTGTTGACTATTAATCCTTTAACTCTTAAGGCGACAAACATCTAATTTCTCCTCACAATACCACCCTTGAATCAAACATTAAGGTCATGAGAATAAAGGAAATGATCATTACCTAAAGAAGCTATTGATGGTTAACGAAGCAAGCATCTTAGGAAATGTATGGAGAACAGTATGGCCAGTATGCATATTGATGTTAGGGTTTACTGAAAGGGTTAAACTATGTGCAGGAACTTTACAGGTCCACCCTAATTACATTCCTCAGTTTCAAACGAAGCCCAGTGATAATTTCATTTGAGACTTTACCCCGAATACCTCAAGAAGCTATTTTTTCAATTATCCGCTCGTGGAGTTTAATCCTTTAAACCTTGTTTTCTATACACAGCAAAAACTATCGATCGCAGAAGGTGTTTAGTAACAGAAATGCAACTTGCAAGTATCAGTGAAGACGTCGGAAATTTTTGGCGCGAGCTAGGACCAGTACTAGGAATTCCTTCATCAAAAATCCAAAACCTCGACGAAGATTGCAGAACTAATTGGGACAAAGCATTTTCCCTTCTCATTTTGTGGAAACAGAGAGGAGGAAAGTGCGCAACAGCAGGAATTCTTTCGGATGCTTTGGAGAGAATTGGAAGAAAAAGGTGGCTGATGTATTTGGATTAAAGTATTCTCTTTACGATAGCGATGAGAATTCGCAAAGTCGAACTCCTTTAAACTGAACCACTCTCCTTAAGGGAACTTCCGTTACAGGTTTTTTTCTCCTTGATAGTCATTTACTATCCGCTGGCTCTAAGTCTTCCATCTCGAAACTCTTTTCGCTCCCCTGGCTAGCTCCATTATCAGGGGTTTAACTATCTTTCTGTCTGCACTACGTGCTGCTGCATTTGTGAGGCAGTAAGGCATGAATAACTGAATAATAAGTACTGCCAAAGGCTGACTTACGGTGAAGGGCTATTAAGATGTGTGAGCGCCCCCCTCCCGCTTGTCTCGATATCGGGACTTGATGAAAAAACCTGGCATCCCTTAAGTGTCAGTTCATAGGATCCCTTGATGGAGAATGATGCCCACGCCTCCCTTAAATAGTACACTTATTTAGTTTTCCTTCTCAACATATTTCTAGAAATGTGTGATGAGAATCTTCCCACAGTTATTAATGTTGGCGAAGGCGATGAAATCAGTTTGAGAGTGTTGGATTCAAAACGTGGCAACGAGGTTTGGAGCTTTATATTACAAAGTATAATTGCTTCATCATATGCTTTCAAACATATGAATACTAAATGGCGAAATATGTCAGTCTCACGATGCCAGTATGTTTAGTTAATGCACAATTCATGCTCTATTCAGTTCGCTTATTTGCATATTCTCGTTTCGCCACAGCTGATGCTGTGCAAAGATCCACAAGGAAATAAATACGAGGTAAAACCTCTGCGCAGTTGTGAAGAGTTCAGAAGTTCCAATCTTGACGAGGTATTTTTATTGCCTTTAACGATACCTTTGATGACAGCTGCAGAATGTACGCTGTCGATAAGTAGTGCATAAAGTGAACACCCACAAAATAATATTATTTTTTGTTCTAAGTTAACCCAATTAAAACCTATTTTTAAATGAACATTTTTGAGCCAAATTTTGAGCACATGGTGAACTCTGTGTTTAACCTGTATCGGAATGCCTTCCAGTAACGTGATTTTACCACGCTACTGAGGTGCACCCGTAAATTTCCTGACAGAGATATATTTTTTTTCGAGGATGTTCCTGTTTCCGTTCAAGGATTTGGAGTTGCCATGGAAACAGAGCAAACATCATTTTTACGCCAAAATAGCTTAATCAGAGCCCGATCGGGGGTTCAAGAACTAAGGAGGCAACTGAAAAAAGTAAAATCAAAGAGCACCCATTCGTCTGTCGATGAAACTCCAAAAGTAGAACAATTGCTACAGTGGTGCGAGGAACAGCGCAGTTGTTGTGAAGGAATATATCTTTCTCTTATTAGGACAATTGGTGCGGTTTTTGGAGAGATAATGAAAGACAATTCGAAGTGTATTCATCAATTCTTGGAGTTTACGATGGAAGTGAAGGACCAAGAAAACAAAATTTTCTCCCGAATTGAACCTGCGCTTAGTCAAAGCCATCATTTGGATAAGCATCAAGTTTCTCGAGTTGAACAACTAGAAAAGTGGAGAAGGGCACACAAAAAACATATCGAGGAAGTCGAAAAGTTACTTTCTTTCTTGCTTGATCAGGTGAGTGCGGAAAGAAAGTAATCATAGCGGAAAATAGAAAAAAGTCAGGTATTTTCCACAGTCATTTCCATCTTTCGAAGCCAATGTTTTTCAGTTCTTTACATTAATGAAATACGTTAAAAAAATTTATTTTTCTATGATGGCCTAAAACCCTGACAAGTCAATAGAAACGTGCAATTACACCCCCTCTTGTGTAATATTTAGTTAATTTTTTGTGTTTTAGCAAGCTAAAACCGATCAAAAGAGCAGACATCAAAGTTTGAGTGAATGGTCAGGCGTGGACGAGATAAGAAACATATCAAAACCACCTATAGTTCATCAAATGAGTTTGATGGAGATCCAGAAGACCTTTAGCCAGGAGAGGTAATTCGCAAATGTTTTTGGATAGTTTGAGTTTATAGTTACGCTAAGCTTTTGATCGTTTTCTGGGCAAATTCTTGATCCTCGAGTTTGAAAACACACGGGGATCAAGTGTTTATTCACTCTGACTTTTTGATTGCAAAGTAACTCGACTAACTACATGTTTGACTCCAATACGTGGGATTTCATGGAAAATCAAAGAAGTCGAGACCGAAAAAAATGCACTTAGATTCAAGGAGGTTCTCAGCGGGGTGATGGCTTTTAAGGCTGATGGTTACAATTTCGGCGATTTTACGGCTAACGATTTAGTTCCTTCCTTCCTTCACGGTTAACCTTTCTTACGACTAACAGTTAAAATTTGACCGTCTCTACGCCTAACGGTTAGTTCCTGTTCAAGGAATGTCAATTCTGCATATACTGTCTCGGTGCAGGTGTTTGCTTACAGTTGGTACAAGTGATTTACATCTTTCGGCGTCTGAGTGTTGCTGCAGAAGAATACATTCTTCCTTTCAGCATCCTCAGAACTGATAAAAAAAGGGCTGAGTGACTTCAAAATATGGTAAAAACAAAAGGTGGCTCAGGCGTTACCGCGGAGGAGTCACGATAATAATTATTCTTTAGGGAGTATGCGTCGAGGTTGCTTCAGTAAATGTTGAATTTCGCAAGACATTAGCCCAACGTCTGAAGCAGAGTCGTGCTTCCGCCGCACTATGGTCGAACCTAATTGCTATTAGGTTTGGCACGGCAGAAGCATGTCGTATGAACTGGGCCTAAATCGTTTTACATAAGTTTTCTTCTTGTGCTTTACGTATCAGTAACTATATACAATAATATCTTCTTTGCAGAAAAGTGAATCACGAGAGTCAGCTTCAAAACGGAAAAGAAGCCTGACTTGAGATATCAGTTAATACTCGAGTGTTCATCCTGCCAGCGGAAATCAGGAGAAGCATCATGATGAAGGGCGTTTCAATAGCCAGTGATCAGCTTAGTGCTGTATAGCCGCTTCAAATTGCTATTTAATGTATTTTTCAACTATATTGTAGATTTAAAAATATGAAGATTTTGAAATTTCAAACCTTCTATCTTGAAAAATGGAAACCAAATGTGTATTAGTCATTCATTAAGGATCTACGAAATATTTACTCTTGTTGGGTTAAGCTTCTGAACAAAGTCCTATCAACACGAGGCCGATCGACTGAGATAGAGATACCTTGAGGATGCCGTCAGGGGAGGTTAAAACAGTATACCACCAAGGCACTGAAATGTTCTTAATTTGCAATGTCAGTCCTATTATATCACTGATTATTTCTTTTTACTTGACGTCTGAACTCCTCCTTCCCTCTTTGTTCACTAACAGCAAAACATTGAACAACTTAAAAAATGAAATAAATGAATGATTAGATATGCTAAACCTATGTGTGAAAGAAAGATATTAATGAATAAGTTACCAGATAGAAAAAAAAAAACAAATCGAAGTAGCACATGCATCAATACATATATCAATTTGTTAATGTAAGTTAAGTTAATTTTTGAAAATAAATATGAAAATAATTAAAACAGTGACTGGTAATGAACACGAGTTCTCTTGCCAAAACTTTACGAATCCTCTGACGAATGTGGGGGTGGAATGCCAATTATCTTCATTTGCCTTTCACTTTGGATGAGGCGGCAACTTTGTATTCTTGAAGACAGCCTACAAGTTGTTGCTCCATTCAGACATCAATTTTTTTTTTTATCAGGAACGAAAACGTCGGCAGAGGTAACGATAAAACCACTTCTCTTTAACGTTTTTTCTTCCTGTTGTAAAGGTATACTTCTGCGCGCCTTTGGATCCATACCAGCTGTACCATCACGGCAATGTTTGTCTGTATTATTAGCTAGCAGAATGGCCTAATGGGTATACAGAATGCGCTTAGGTCAGCATTTTGGACGGATTTTCTTTCTTTTTTTGGTACATATTCATGAATTTTTCGAAACTGGCAAGTTCCTTTTGTAACGAGATTTTCACACCCTCATTTTAAATGGCAATTTCTTGTAGGCGAATGAAATCACCTTCATGAGCTATTTGACTTGGTCACCTGGAAACTTTCCAAGCTCTACATGTTAGATTTCTTTACTTTCGTCAATTTTCCCATCAAGATCCCTAACAGGGGAGAAAATCAAATGTGATGACGTTATAGTTAATACCAGTAACTTAATCAAGCATCACACAATAAATCTTACACCAGTTAATCATAAATTACCTCACAATGAAATAGTCGAAGAACATGAGCGCAAGAATGTTAGGAAATTAACATATTACAGTACTTCCCAGTCTACTGTTTGCGATAAACATAGAGTTGTTATCGTGACGTATGTATAGTCTGCCTGTGCTTCTTCTTTTCCGGCAACTCCGCCATGAATACAACGACTCGGTAAGAATAACCACGGCCAGCACGGCCAGGCTTACGAGCGATTTCATTCCGACCTCTACAAAGTGTAAAAAAACTAATGCGAGAATGTAAACTAGCACAAAGTGAGGGAAGTCTAGAGCCTTGAATCTTGGCTTGCAAAATGCTGTTACACGAGGGCTCTCCATTACTAACCATACTACTTGAAAGGGCATTCGTCACCGTTTGACCGCTGTGGCACCCTAAGATCAATGTTGAATATTTGTATGTGTGATAACGCTGAACACGCAATGATGTAGTTTCAATGATTAACAGAGTAGACCAGTGAAGCCGAAATATTTTCTTTGCTATAAATGATTTGTTTTTCCGTCCTTGAAATCGTTTTTGCAAACCAGAATAGAAATCTACGATTTCTGAATTTGAAACTAAACAAAATAGTAGACATGGTAATTATCGTTCCGAGCCCTATTTTAACCTTTCACTGTCTCATACGGAGAAGAATCTTGGAGCGAGATTGTTTCCATCGCCCTTCCTGGGTGTCCCAGGATACCCAGATGAAAGTTCTCGTGTATTATCTCCAGTTCTCGGATTCTTTGGCTCAATCACCTTCATTATCGTCGGGAGATTTTGAGTACGAAACAAGGATGCACGTTCCTTCATCTCCCGATTTCCGCTTCATTATGGGTTTCTTGAATAAAAATCAATGAGAGATTGCAATGCTATTTTGTCATCAATCTGAACTTAAGAGAGGATTATATTATTATGGCACGTAACCAAACAAACAAACAAAAAACAAATAAAAATAATATAACATTTAAAGAGTCTGAATGGATCAGATTAAGGCCACGAGTATTAGCTCTCAAACAGTCATTTAAGTCATTAAAAGCATCTCTGGAAACAATTACCGTACGCTTGCATGGTTGATCTCTGGCGTGAATAGCGCATGCATGTTATAATTGTTGTAGTCTTATCAAGTGAATTATCGTTTTTTAAACGTTGAAATCAATTTCTGTCCTTCAGTTGCATATTTGGTGTTGTTAGGTCACATTACTAGTCTTTTTTACTCGCTTTTGCATCCTGTCAAGTTGCTATGATAACTATCATATCATTCCTACCTTCGCTATAGTCCTTTTGGACTGGGTCTCTTCTAAAGGATTTCTGAGACTCTGCGTAACACTAAAACAACCATATAATAAAAACATAACCATATAATTATCTAAGCACATTTACAGTTTTTCCGGCACTTTCCCGTTTAAGGATAAAAAAATTTTCTTCAAAACGTGGCCTTACGGCTTTCGGTTTTCCGTCCAAAGTTTAGAAATGTGTTTAATGCATCTGACAGAGAGCCGGAGAGTTACGCTTTGAAGAAAAATTTTGAATTAGTGAACGCCTTATTGCGCAATGCGATTTTTAATAATCTGAGATAAAATTAAGACTTAGTTACCTTCCTACCATATTCATGCCGAGGTTTTGAGTGTATCTCTGACGCAGATCTTTGTCGAGGCGTCTTTCAATACAACATAATTCAAAAGGAAAAAGTATAAGTAGAGCATAAGAATTAAAAACATAGGGTTACAACACTTAAAGGATCCTCAACATTTGATTTGAAAGAGTTGAGTCAGAGGAGATAATTTTTTTGTAGGCTAAAACACTCTGATAGGATCATCAACAAAGCTATCTTACCGACTGATGTAAGCTAAGCATTAAAGACTTACAGAAGAATGCAAATTGAATATATGACGTTTGAATTATAAGGTGATTGCATGGGCAACGACAAAGACGTTATCGAATTATTAAGTTAACATTTGTAACTGCATAATTGGAGACAGTAACGAATGGGTGTTGTTGTTTTTTTAATAGGGAACAAAAAATAGAAATGATCAGACTGAATAATGAAATAATTTGTTGATCTAGAGCACCCAAAATTAAGGCTGGTGGTCTCGAATTGGAGACGTCCGAGGAGGTGCTATTTCTTTGAGAACTAACACGATTTACGTATTACCAATGGGACATACTATTTGAGGGGATACTGTTTTTAAGATTTCGTAATGGAAAATTGCAAAATTAAGGAAAATTCCACCGGAAAAGCCCAAAGATAAAGAAATAAACGACGAAACTATCTCTCCATCAGTTTAGGGGGTGAGGTACACGCAGTTGAAATAAAATATTTAAACATATCCATACGTCGAGCTTCTGGGTTCAAATAATATAAGTGAAGATTTACGCTGAAATGTGAGAAAATATTAGAACTTTTAAAAGCACCTGATTTCCTTGATATTGTGGTCTACTGTCTTTACTTCCCTTATTAAGCAATCCCGACAATAGCCTAAATATTTTCTTGTTCTGTCTTCCATTTTACCAATTTCTTTGCGCGAGCAGCATGCTGCTCATCCGAATGTTGGCTTTGATTACGTAAATACTCAATTTTGACGAAAAGTTTCCTTTCCTGTTCACGCAGTTCTCCTGTAAACTCCCGAAGTTGTTGAATACAATCTAAATTATCCTCACTCAGTCGGCCAACTTCGCCTGTCAGCTTGATGAGAACTACAAATATCGAGTTACAAGATTTTCGATTCTCCTCACAGAATAGAAGCAATTTCTCCGTGCTTTCGCCGTATGATGGATCTACATTATCATCAGATAAACAGTTTGTTTCTTGTCTTGTGCCCCCGGAGTCCCCATCACTCGTGTCTCCGTCTCCACAGTCCAGGTTTCTTTCCTTTAGGTGTCTCTTCAGGTTTTAAATCTCTGTCACAATATGACGCATAAAGTTTTCCAGAGTAGTCTGCAAGAACGGCTTGCTTATTAGGGTTTGTCAAAAAAATTGAAACTACGATTAAATTAAACTGTGCGCTGTTGTAATTCTTTTGACCATACCATTAAATGCATAAACAGTGAAGAGTTATTTTTGCAATCTCGGATTGAAAATTATTTCTTGCCTTCCTCAAGTTCCGTTAAACTCTATATTTTAAAGCAGGGCTAGTACTGTTCATCACAGCGTAATTTATTATTTTTTTAAAGAATTAGTTTCAAAACTATGATGAAATGCACGAAGAAAGTGAAATAAATTACCTCTTCCAAATTCACAGATTTTTCAAAGCTGTCAACACCCTTTACCACGTATTTATTTCCTTGCGCATCTTCGCAGAGCACAATCTAGCAAAAAAGAAGGCTTTTTAATACAACTACCCACGTATGTAGTTGTAACGAAAAATTCCCTGAAACAAATAAGAACAAGTAAATTATGTATATACCGCAGATGTAATAAGTCCACACACGCGTAAAGGGTTGATAGCTCTGTCTTTCCTACGCTGATGGTCCAGCCAAAGGGTAGGAATACCTTGGCAAAGTTGTCCCTAACGCCTTGAAACCCGGTTTAGAATGTGCCTCTATGGGTACAACCAACGGTGGAGAGGATTTTTAAGACAAAAGTTTGTGATTTCGCAGTTTATCTGATGGCTTGAATTGCACAGAGATCTAGCCGTCCTTTTCTTGAAGTAGATGCCTTTATCAGAGTTGCTATCTGCACTTCTGAGGAGGCGGGTGAGGAAGGGTTTTAAAAGCATAAGAGTAATTACAGAGCCTATCTTTACTCTGCGTGATATTTCAGAAGGTGTTGTTGCTTCACCACGAGAGAGTACAGTCCCCAGTCATCTCGTCGTGGAAGGAGCGGATCAAGTTAAGAAACTTCCAGGGGTAGCCAAGTTTCATAGGAATATTCCTTATATATATCTGTACTCTTGCAGCGTAAGTCCATTCCCTTCTTATGTAAACATATTCAATTGTGTGGAGTAGCTGGCCTTTTATGCACTCTAACGGCTCTCCGCTAATAAGCATTCACGAATTGTTTTGCTATCGTTACATCTTATTTAAATAGCTTTTGAAAATTGATGCACATGATAAAGTTATTCGAGAGTTGTACAGACGCGATGCAAAACTGAATTACCAACCTTGTCGAGCTCTGTATTTAAGTCGTGAATTACTTGTAAACGTACATCTCGGCCCTTCGAGAGTATCAAGTTATCCACACCTAAAAGCAACAACATTCAACCATGAAAATGATTG